TGCCCGCATTGTCTTAGCCAGCGCTTCGTTACGTCATTTAGCAGTATCTTTTACACCATAGTGATACGGATGTTCTCATTAGCGTGCACTATACGTGGCTCTTTCTATCTCTTATTTTCTTAGATTGCACTGATTTGTGCTTTCTTGTGCGCCATTCTGAAGCTATTTTGTGCTCTTAAAAGCCAGAGAAAATGATGATCGTTTGACGAACGAACTCTTATACTTGAAGGAAAGCGCATGAATATATATAGGTGGTATAAGGGTATCAACAACAAGAAACAATAGGTGAAAATGTAGTTTTATTCTATTTTAATCTTTTGATCAATTATTTGAAAAAGACGTGGTCATTCTAGAAACGATTGTTACAATGTAACAGGAAGGATAAAAGGAAGAAAGAACACAGAAAATGACAAATTGATTCCGTATGTATAAGGACTTACGTGTCCAATTGAGGAAGATGTTGTACTTATCGTGATGGATTGATAGAATATACATTATTGATCTAACGATGTTGTGGAATATTATTTCATTCCCAATATGAAATGGAAAAAGAAAAGATCGAAAAGGGCCAAATGAGGTCATGTTAACATTGTGCAAAAGAGCGAAACATCTATTTCTTTGCATTGCAACGCATAAACAGTTAATTTTGTACAATATCCTTGTTTTCCCTTTAGGATAAAAGACAAAAAATATTATGCACAATTAAAAGACATAGAGCGCGATAAATATAGATACTCTATATATAATATAGATTCAGAGATATTATCTTTTAGTATTGTTATTGTATCATTAATCTACACACATATCAAGACAAAAGTGGCTTAGGTCATGAAGTCTCTTACTGAAGAATGACTCACTCAAACCTAAATCTAAACCGCAGAAAAGATTATTTTCAGAAACCAGGATCTATTCTGCTATTTTCTACAACATTTCTAGGGACGGACCGAGGAGATGAGTTATTCGATCACACTTTCAGTCAAGAAACTACTATAACATTTTCGAAAATGGAAATAAATTTTTTACTGCGTCTGAAGAGAAGGCTATTTATACATACTTCTCAAATTTTAGCTGATGATACATCAAATACTCGAAGAAAAATTAGCAATAAAGCTAGAAATTATATCGTTGAAGCAAAAATTGGTTAACAAGGAGAAAAGATTTTTCCTCACATACGTAGTTATACTTGTAAAATTACATACGTGATATTCCATAGAGATGGATGAGTAATTTATTGAGTACGAGTACTTGATGATCGTCAATAATCGGACACAAATTATTGAGTTTCAGCACGATTAATTTTATTATCGATTAAGTTTGGTAGGTTGCTATTCTTGGAATTTTGCTACAATTCGAGTACTTTCAATTGTTCCACTATTCTTTAATTTTTTAGGTGGATATACAGTAAATCACGTATGTTCAATACTTTTTTGTGATCATTATTTAACGGGTAAGGCAAAAGTTCTACATTAATTGTTTTTAATACAGCGTTGGAATGGAATATCCTAGAGGCTTTATACTTTTTTTGTTAGAAAGAGTAACGTGTCTAGTACAAAAATATATAAAAGTATTTGTAAATCGAATATAGAACTGCTATTATTCGATTGCTATATTCGATTTACAAATACTTATTTCCAACTGCTCTACCAACAAATTTCATATATAAAAATATTTGATCGAAAATGTTTGCCGAAGGCCACAAAAATCTTTGAACAAAAGGCATAGGAAAACTGTTCCGTAACCTTTTCGAATTGAGAAAAAACTCTACCGAATTAGAAAGGTTGTCTTTTTTTTTTCGTTTTCTTCCGAGTTTTATAATGTAAGGATAGGATACTATTACTGTATAAAAAAGAAATGTTTTATAACGGTCGAAATGAGCGCTTTCATAACATTCTATGTTACTATCGATTTTTTATCACTGTCTTTATATGAAAAAGAAAATTTATTGAGTCCTCTACCAAACGATATTATTTTGAATAGAACACAGCTGCTCTGTGAGATATTGGGACAAACACTTGTTTTCGTGCTGTAAACGCCAAATTGAGTTTTTAATTAATTTGAGTTTCAATCACTTAAAAATCAAATCGTTTTCAATTTCTTGTACTCAAGGTCAACTTTTTTAATATCATACGAAAGCGTTCGTTGTAATGAACAACTTCATATATATGGTGCTCGAAAACATCGGATGTGGGTATTAAAAAAGGTCAAACAAATATATTTGGATACAAAAATTGTAACCAAAGTTACGGAACAGTTTTCAGATGCCTTTTATTCTAAAATTTTTGTGGCCTTCAGGAAACATTTTCAGTCAAATACTTTTATATATTTTTGTACTAGACAATTTACTCTCTCTAACAAAAAAAGGATATAATTTCTACAATATTCCATCGCAATGCTATATTAAAAACAAAATTAATGCAGAACTTTTCCCTCACCCGTTAGTTTGTATAAAGAGTATGACACTTTTGTTTTCTATTTTTCAAATACTTAAATGAAATTTGTAGAATTCATTTTAGATCCAAAAGATAAACGATTTCTATTCTATAAAATTTTCTATATTCGATATTTATATACTGTTTTATTATTTGAAAACAAGAGCATAGAGTATAAGGAAAGATAAGAAGCATAACTGGCACAGAAACAAAAGTATCTCGTTCTTCACGAGCCTACTATTATTGAACTAAATCCTATAGTACAGTTATCTACGTTTATAAGTTATTTGAAAATAATTATTTTTGAAAATTAAAGCAAAAGGTAGTTATACTTACGGCACTATTAATAATGTGTGTTGATTATGATTACTAACTATATGCAAATAACTATATTTGTAAAAGAAAAAGAGAAAAAGAAAGTGTCGTATTGTACTGTGTTTCGTTATTATTATTTTAATTGTCTAGGCTGATGCCATATTTTTTCGCAAATACTAAAAGAAAAAGAAAGGCAAAAAAGTGGCGAAAAGATGGTACATACAGTTTTTTTCGGAAAAAAAAAACAAAAATAATAGAAGAACTGACAAATACATCGATATAGAGGTGTGTATAAGTACAGAAATAGGAAAAATAAGACAGGCATTTTGTCTATTGCTTAAACATCATTTATAAGATCAAGCAGGAAAACTCAACTCATTTTTTCCTTTTATTTCCAGTAACGCAGAATCAATTTACGTTTTTTTCTCTTAATGAATAGTAGTATAGTACGACAGTTTAAAGAAAGAAAAACATTTTCTTTTTCAATAACAAAATAATATATTTTTTCCAAATTAGACACGATCCACTCTGTTATTATTGAGCGTGTTTTGATATATGAAACAAATACGACCGATAATAAAAAAAACATTTTTATTCCGAATCTCACTGATTACAACAAAAAAGTCTCATAAAAAAGAGAGTTTTTCTAAATAGATCCGATATTTATTTTATATTCAATATACCTCCGTACAGTTGATGCTTTTGAAATAACTAAAACATAGTGTTTAAAATAAAACTGGAAAATAATAATGTTTTGTTTAATCTTAAGCTGGCATCTTGAATAATTCTTTCAAGTTGTATGTGTCGTTTAATTATATGCATATCAATCAACCACGACATTTGAAAATTTTTGAACGATAATTCATAGAATATTTTGACACTATAGTCAGCTTTAAAATAGAAACCTTTCGACTTCTTCATTTTTCATCGTTTTGGCGTGGTATCGGATTTTCCAGGAGCTTCAGCATCAGTTTTCAGTTACCTTTGAAAACATAAAAAATTAATGAAACATAGATTATCGATCATCTTGAATTTTGTGGCAATGTTTGTTTCTAGAAAAATCTTCAAAAACCCACTGAAAATATGTACTAGATGATACAACATGCTATTTTCGGCTATTTTCACAAAAAAATAAAAGATAATAACTGAGTCAAAATTGATTCATACCACTTCAAAACATAAATATTCAGTCTATTTTATCTGCTCAATTTAATTCTATACTTAAGATCAGTAAACAAATTTGCCAACTTCTAAAGGTTTCTGTAAAACCATTCGAAACATAAGTGTGTTTTGTTTTATTCATTTTTATGTCCACGCCAAAACGATGAAAAATGAAAAAGTCGGAAGAAGCCTTTGCTTACGAAACGATTTCTCCAAGTCTCCTAATTCAAATACCGAAAATCGCAAGTCTGTATCCATCTTCGTTATTGACGAATAAAATAAGTTCAAAAGTTATTCAAAAAGTTTGTGGCCATCTCGTGTTTTAAAAAAAACAATACTTCAGTTCACGATGGTTAACCTAATTTGAAGAATTTATTTAGTGCTAATTTAGACCTCAGTATTCCCATTCTCTTTCCAGATACGACGACAAATCTACTTTTTCTAATCGAATTCGTAGCACAGAAACAATTTTCAGAAAAAGCAATATGATTATTATTAATAAAAAATGAAAATATGTAGTTTCTCAACGAATGGCCTGTGTTAACTTCAAGAACAAGCAACATATTTCATAGTTATTATAGCAGTTTACATTATATATAACCCATTCATTTTGCTCTTTAACTTGATTGTTCAATAGATAATGCTCTGCAAAAGTATTAGTGAAAAATAAAATGAAAAACAAACAATTTACGCATATCAATTGACGAATAAAATAACAATGTCTATATGTGAATTATATGTTCAGAAAATGTTTATTTGTTTGTGTTTGTGTTTGTGTGTGTGTGTGTGTATGTATGTGGTGACAGTCAATACAAATATGCACTTAAATAAGAAAGAGAAGAAAAAAAATGTTATACAGTGGTTAAAAAGTTTGATAAAATAAATGATAAGCAGAAATAAGTCGAGGATAAAGACTGAAAAAAAGAAAGAAATTCATTAAGTAGGAAGGTGATAGCTAGCTTCTTTTAATAAGCGGCTTTTGTGAAGAGAAGAAAGAGAAAAAGATCAACTTAACTAACCACACGACTAATACGGATATTTTTGTATGTACAAGAGAGAAATAATCAAAATAATCAAAAGGACTTGAATAAAATAATGTACAGAGGATTAGTTGATGGTGATAAGATGAGCGTGAGTGAGCGGAGAACGAAAGACGTCTGTAATATCATCGAATAAAATTGCATAATAATGAGATGAGAAAGAAGCTCAACCATGATTTTTAAACTTGTTTTGATTTTTTTCTTCTATATATAGAATTAAATAATGGAATGTTAACTAAAACAAACTAACACATATTCACTTTTTAGTATTAGAGGAGGTGGTGATAGAAAAATGTTAAGTAATCGAGTATTGTACATCGATCTTGACAACTAAATCCACTGCCCATCCGTTTTTTGAATGTGGCCAATGGAAGCATATTACAAGATCAAGTTCAAAGAATATGTACCATCACTTCTATTTTTATGAAATAATTATTATCTGGTACTTGGTACTGATACAATTCATCACTGGATTTTATCTAATACAAAATCAATCGAATATTACCTCAGCATTACAACCAACATTTAATGAGCAAGATAAAAAATTAATTTTTGTAAAAGTATGTTTCATAATAATTTTTATCTAATAGTTAAATCTGAGAAAAATATTGAAAGAAAATTTGGATTATTGATATTACTGAACTTGTTTATCGTTTATATTTTCACACTATTTTGTTCATTTGTTTAATGATTTGCCTTCTTTTTAAGAAATTTCTGCGTCGTTTTGGATACGTACGAAATATTGCGAAGTTACAATCAAATTCAAAAAGTTCGACAAACATTACCGAAGGTTTAAAAACTTTTCAACGTTATATTGGAATTAATGCAACAGGTATGCCAGTTAATTCTCATTCTTTTTTTCTATCCTATTCTATGCACTTGAGGTACTGTTGATGATTTGACATGGATAACAATGATTAAACCAAGATGTGGAAACAAAGATATTCGTATTCAAAGACGAAAGCGTTTTATTCTTCAAGGTAGTGTGTGCGAAGAAGAATTGGATAACTAAGATTAGATTCTGAATTTAATTCAAGCAATGAATTTAATATTTTTGAGTATTTCTACGCTGTTCGATCCGGTCTGATATGATCTGAAAACCGACGAGATCTGATTATGTGCATCGTGTAGCATCCATAATAGTACGCAAAAGTCTCCGCTTATTTCCTATAAAAGTTATGCAAAACATGGTCGTCCCCAGGTAATAATTGTGATTCTGAGCGTTTTAAGGATAGTAAAGATAGCGCATTTCCGACGTTATCTGGAACTTTCAACTGTTCTCTTACTTCTAGCTGAAAAGAGGAGAAAAAGCTTCATAGTTCCATCCGCCAGTTGGATTCTTTCCTTGGACATTCTTACAAGTCTCCATACATGAATAATCCTTAGAATCGTGCTAAACATGAAAAGTCGTTGATAATTAAATGTTTTTATCATTCCTAAATGTAGGCGAAAGATAAGAGTATTGTATAATATTTGAAAGGGAAAAAAATCATCAACCCACGTCGATATTTGTGGATTTTTATACCATTAATCTAGTGGCGTATGAGACAACCATATCTTGAAAATTGCAAGGCTTTTTTCTGACAAGGCGGGCAGAGGACACGCATTTTTCAAAAGTAGACTTTACGAATTATCTTATAGTGAAGAAAAAATAAGGTTGACATCTGCTTCCTTAGTTATTCTAATTAGCTTGGAAGTCGCTCTCCTTTGATTATAAAAAGGTTACATTAGCTTAGAATATTTTAATCATAGGATTTCCTATCATCGGATGGAACAACATGGAAACACCCAATGAGTACATTTCAATTATCAAAACTTTTTTTTAGGTAGCCGTTGGCCGTCAAGAGGTCTTTCGTTTCGAATTATAAAATATCCAACCGCATTTCCAAGACAATTCGTTGAAATAGAATTATCTAAAGCATTGAGGGTTCGGCGTATAAGTAAAGGATGTGTATTGAACTTTTAGTTAAATTCCTCATGCTTTAGTTGTGGAGTGATGCATCCAGTCTGACATTCGAACATAGAAAGAAGAGAGATAAGTTTACAGATCGGGAAACAGACATCCAAATATCATTTGAAATTGGTGATCATGGTGACACAGAGCCGTTCGATGGGCCGGGAAATGTTTTAGGACATGCTTTTTTCCCACAAGTGAGCATGTCAGATGTTTAACTGTTAAACGTGAAGATATAAAAGCGTATTATTCTATAGTACGGTGGTGACGCTCATTTTGATAACGATGAATATTGGACAACGAAAAGTTTAGAAGGTATGTTTTCGCTAAAGTTGTATTATCAGTACCTTTCCTAGAGAATGTCCAGATGATCTGCTCAGGAGATACAGGGCTATGACCGTATTTCGCTAAGACTATGACCTAAGCAATCTGAACATGCTTTGGGGTAGAAATTGTAATGTATACTGATTTTGTAGGTGTAAACTTGTTTCAAGTTGCTGCTCATGAATTCGGTCATTCCCTAGGACTCGAACATTCAAACGACCCTGAAGCAATCATGGCACCCTGTGAGTATTAGAAAACTAATATTAAATCTTACATATTTAAGGTAGACTCCTGTCAGAAAAGTAACTTCCATTAAAAAATCGATTCTGAGTTTTTAGGAGAGCACAGAAATCTTTTTGAAAAGCTGTTTTTCTTCTGAATACAATTGTTCCGTTGATAAGTAGATGTCTCTAGCTTTTTAATATTACTCATTTTTCTTGCAAAACATCTTGGTTGATCGAACACAGTGAATATAACAAGCTCAACATTTTCCTTCTCTAACTACTCCTGAAATTCAGCGTCTCTTTTTCGTGGCGAAAGAATCTGAGATAGAATAGCTACAGAAACTAAAAGATGGACCGAAAAAATACTTCCTTAGAAAACGCTAGCCACTTTCAACAGTGCAAGAACTAATTGGGTGCAGTATACCTAGGAAAATTGTAGAGCAGAAATTACTTAAAAAGGTTTTTATAATTTAGATAGAGCTTGAAAACTGAACAGATTTAAGGGTTGGATTGATCTCTGAAGTGTAGAAAAGTAGGCGTCAGAAATCATGAAAATCCTACATCCTGTTGTTTCAAAATTTTCCTGAATCGCTGGAAGAAAGTGCATCGTTCAGAACCCTTAAACATCATGTTGCATCGAAATCGTCTCGGTCGTTATAAAAACAGTCTATACGCACGTACAGACATTGACGGTATCCATATCATTTTCATTTTAATGCCATGTTCCTCTGTGCTAAGAGTCACATTTTGACTCCAGCAACACCTATGATCCGTGAATAAGTCAACAGTCTCAGTCGAAAAATCTTGCATAACTTATAAATATAATAACCTCTATTCGTTAAAAGTTTGGCCGAAATCGGTTGCATGATATAGAAAAAGGGTTCATTCGGAGAGGGAATCATCTGTAAGAAAACTGTTCACTATTTTAGTTTTCAAGGGGTTTACTCCGAATTTTACGTTACAAACAGATGATATTCGTGCGATACGTGCTCTTTACGGTGAGATTCGACAGTCTTATTTGGCAGATACTTCGTTTAATACGTTTTTGTGTGTTTGTTATAGGAGGAAAACCAGTCAAATCTGACCTTCGAGAGGGTGACAGTTATCATGAATACAAGCAGACACAGTATTCTATGGCACCATCCATATATTCCCTTCCTCAAATTTGCTACGAACCAAAATTCGATGCGATTATAACCATCGATACTGATACATTTATATTTAAAGGTAGAATTATATTTCTAAGGGAGCGTTTCAAAATATATTCCGGTCGGTCGGTTGGTCGTTATTCCACTCTTCTTCTATCTACTGATATTTCAATTTTTCGAAAAAAAGAAAGTTCGTATGCTCTGTATTTAGGTAATTTTTGTTTTTTCTTTAATGTATGTATGAATGAATCCTGACCGCTTCGAGATAGCCCTGAAAAAGTCTAAAAGACTAGAAAGATAAAATTTAGTTCAAAATACTGTTGCATTCTAAAATATAGCAACACCGACCGGAATATATTTTGAAACGCTCCATAAGTCAACTTTCTTGATTAATTCTTGAATGCAGTTGTCGCAATGCGATCGAGATAAACTATTATTCTTCAGATAGTTTCTATTTCGTAGTTGTAGTGAGACAATATTTTCTAATAGTGATCGTGCCAACATAATAAAATTCTGCTACGAGACTCGCTAACGATAACACAACTTTTTTTTCCCGGTTTGAAACCACACCATGATCGCTTTTTTTTCTTAAAAATTTCATCACAAGCCGAATTTTTGTCAGTTAAGTAGGAATCTTCTTTCAAGTCATGTCGAGTCTCGTAGATAAGTGACCCGAACTGTAAGAAGTTTTTTTCATATAAGAAATTTATCAGTTCGGCTTGTTCGCAGGTAACGCGATGACGCACTTCTAGCGTCAACGTTTATTTTCTTACACTTACGAGCAGGAATAAAAGCGACTATTGCATTATTTTACAGATCCCGATGGCTTCTGTAACAGATGTAAACAAGTTTGAAGTATGACCTATCGTTCAAATCTGTACTACCGTGGAATAATCCAAAAACGCATGGAAGACAGATTATCAGGCATAAAGAACCTGGCGGCGATATTCATCTTCGAGAAAAGCATAAAAACCTGCTGAAAACTTGTACCAAAGTAAACTGATTTTAGCCTATTTTCATTGATAATTAAAAAGGTCATATCTCATTTAAAATCCATCTGAACAACTAGAACATTTCAGCATAAATCCTATATGACCTGTTCATAATGCTCTCTAATTCTTTAAAGATCGAAGATTCTAAAAAATCATCCTAATTTTAGAAAACCTCAAAAACAAAAAACTCATTCTTGATTTTTCTGATGACTTATTGGAAAAATGTATCTTGAAATTTTCAAGTAACTTGCTGAGAATGGATTTTTTAATTTTCAGTGGATAAATAATGGATAGTAGGTGAGTACACAACAATTTTAAAGAGAAGAAGAGTTGAAACTCATTTATCCTGTTACCAGGTTGAGTGTCGTATCCACAATATAAACATATATTTTAATTTGCGACAATTGAAATGGTATACCTTGCTTCTTTTACTGTGAACTTTACCGTACATTGTACTTTACCGAATGAATTTTGAAGAGTTTACAAAAAATGTTTTCATCATACTTCTGCGAAAAAAATCACTTTTCGACAACATAGTTATTTCCACGATTTTGAGGAAAAATTCAGCCTACGCAAATCGGCTACTATCTCGGATTGTATCTGTCAACGTATAGTAAGTATCGAATGAGTAACTTTGTATGACTCTGAAAGATATGAAAGTTTACTTAGTGGCTTCTACAGATCATTATCATGATCGAATAAAAAATGTTAAAAATAAGTCGTTTTTATAGTTTCCCGTACACGACTGTACTTTAAAAATAGTATTTCTTGAGGTAACAATCTGTTTTAGGCAATAATGTCTATCGACGAACAAGATTTGGTTTTGACTCTGACTATCCAAAAAATATTCGTGATCTGTTCGGCCGATGGGAGGGTGGAGTATGGCAGAGTATTCCAGATAATCTAGACACAGCATTATCATGGTCGAATGATCAAACATATTTTTTTAAGGTGCAAATAAAATTCTTTTTGCTAAATAATGCCAACTCAGAAATACTAAATATTTTTTCTATGTAAAAGGGAATGTATTATTGGAAGACAATTCGATTTACACTACAACCGGGATATCCAAGAAAAATTAGTGAAGGTTTCATTGGTCTCGATGAATCAAAATTTTTTACGGGCAATCTAGATGCTGCTTTTGTTTATAGTGGTGATCAAAAAACATACTTCATTTCCGGTAAGAACTACTCTTAAGCGGTGTTTACGCTTTTGTTTAACACATTGTTTGACTATTAGGTGCACTGTTTTGGCGTTTGAATGAAAACCGCGAATTTAGAGGTCAAATTGAGCATGATTATCCACAATTTGTTATAAATTGGCTTCGTATAACAAATAAAATTACAGATGCTCTACAGTGGATAAATGGAAAAACATATTTTTTTTCCAGTAACGTATACTACCGATACGACCATGTACGACAAAAAGTGAGATCAAAGTTTTTTCATTGTCGTCATTCGTTCAATTCATCATGACTCTTTTTTGATTCTAGGTTGAAGATGTTAATCCACCGTTTCCACGTCTAATATCAGACTGGTGGTTGAACTGTAACCAGACAAACTCTAATCATGATAGTACTTTTAGTGACATTCCATATATTACTAAACTGTACACAAGACCGCGACGATACGTTGTCGAAAGCGAGCGAAACCGATGCAGAAAAGAATGTGTTGGTTTGTGTTTTCGAATTATACCATTTTTACTTCTAGTATCTGTGATGTTTCACTAACTTTGAAAATGAAAACTACATATACAATTTTTGATAAGTTTTCTATGCCATATAACAATGATGAAAATATGCGGAATATTATTCAGTTGATAATCAGTTTAATTTTTTAATTATCATGGACCTAAGAAAGATGATATAGTGCACTCAGTCTGTTAGGATAACTCATGTTCGAATATTAAAACTAAAAAAGTAATAAAAGGTTAAAATCGTTGACTTTTGTTCTGGAATATGGAAAAAAATAGCTTTCTAATTCAATTGACAGAATTAACAATATCTGAAAATTTTCTTCAGTTTGTCTGAATCATCTATTTTTTTCAGCTTTCATGATTCATCATATACGCAGATATAAATGTGAAATGTCAGAATCTATTTATCTATAGTTGGATGATTTATCATAATATACACCTGGAAGATGCACTGAACTGTAACACACTCATTATTTTCTTTTGTCCTTGTTATAATAAGAATAAAACGTGATTTTTTCGGGTGATTTGATCGATCGCATAAAGCGTTATACTGATAAAGATAACAACAGCATAAAAGGAAAACGAAGGCACGTATTTATCGTGATTTGTGTGACACTATTATCTAATTTGATGCGCGCTTTGTTTAGCTCGTCAGAAAGTAACTGTCGAAACGATTTTTTGTGAAAGAAAAACCAAATACAAACTGATACACTAGATACAAAGAAATATATGAAATATATTCTTAAAAATCAACAGTTTTGAAACAAACTCTATGGTAGTACAAGTCAACAAAATGTATTTTCGAACACAAAACGCATAAATGAAAACAGACTCCGATTGTTTTTTATGCGTTCTATTTCTATAATGTATATATAATGTAATTACATTATGCGTACGTATATTTATGCATGGTATATTAAGTACATCTCTCTCTTAAGATCGTATCTACTTTTCGTATTGATAGAATATTCAATTTATGTTAATTTGTTTTAGGGAATAAATAAATAAATGACTCTATAGAGTGATAATTGAGAGGTGGCTTCTCAAAGCAAAGTGATCGTTTAAGATTACTTTTCTAATTAGATTCTTTATATAGGAACAGTAGCGCAGGTTATCAAGATTAACAATCACTAAATCATACTACATAATGTTTCTATCAATGTTTATACTGGTGAAGGCGTTTATACTAGTAGAAAGTTTGACATTTTCTCTAGTAACAAAGCGATTCAGGTGTGGCTTTCGAGATGCTCTACAAAGCTACTCAGAACAGTTTCAACCATCTGTTTCAAACCGTCAAGCTAAAACTTCTTTGAATATGAAAAACTTAGTCTTTCAGCAGCTAAAACTTCGATAAACAAACTGAGCTTTTTAAATTTCCATTACGCTGAAGTAAAATGAAAACTTTCACAAAAACATATAAGTGAATAAAATTTAAAAGAAAAGTTACTAATAAAAAAAAAAGATTGCTTTCGTGATTAGCTCTTTCCACTTGCTCATATAGATCTGGGCCAATTACGGTTAACTGGTATTTTAGTAACTGGTCATTGATTAACTATTTAACTGATTTACTGGGACACCAGTTAACCAATTCTACTAGTTAACTAATTCTAACTGATTATACTATACTCGTCTGGCACAATGGGCAATCTTGGCTTACCATGCGAGCATGCAAATTTGCTGTATATTCAAACTATTTTTTGGCTTTTGTATTGATCAACATCACTGATGCTACCGTATTTTCTCGAGAAATGGAGAAATCTAAAAACATTTTATGAAAAATCGCATCAAAGAGACCAACGCTAAAATCTTTCTCTCTTAAAAGGCTTGTAATATACATCATTCGATGCAGTTTGACACGCTGATTCTGAATATGCCATGTGGTTTGATTGAAACATATCTCTAGTAGTGTAAATGGATTTTACATCAAATAGCATCGGTGTTTAAAAACTTCGATGGAACCTTACTATGTTAAACTAAAAGCACATTTTCTGGAAGTTCTGTCAGCATGAAAAGCATCGATTTTATCGTCTATCTTCAAACACCATAAATCTTGGTTAAATGTCCGGATCATTACCTACTGTGTCTGGACTAGGAGCCACTCGATAAACCAGTATCTGTATGTATTCTATTGAACAAAATGAAATAGAGATGTACAGTTTTCAGTTCGTGAAAGTCGACGCCTGATGACATTGGGTTTAAGGAAAAGCCCATTGTTGCACAGGATGTTTTGAGGAAAAATTAAAAATTTCGTAACGCAAGCCCATGAGTAGTTATTTCACCTCAGGCAGCATGACTTGATGGTTATGTTGTTCGTCACGCACTTCAAACGCACTGTATTCGAACCTCGGCGCTAGCAAAATCATGTAATAACCTTGGGCAAATTACTTATGTCTTAGTGCCTCCAATCACCCATCTGACAGCATACTTACTACGTTGTGACGTACAATACAGTTTCTATGGCTAGTCCCCGTGGCTTTGCGGTTAGTGAAGTGTGTATGGGGAGCTCAACTAATTGAGAGAAAGAACTCTGCATCAGGCTAACCTTCTAGTCAGAGCTGCAATTGACAACTAGTAACGAGATGGGTGACCATTTCAGAAGCGTGTCAGCTGCAGAGGAGATATCGGATTGCCCTACACCGATAGCGGTAGCTGCAAGGTGGGGTATTCTTCCTATTTCACCTAATATAGATTAGATTTTTAGAGTGCGTTAGAGCTGGGCGATCTTCTCAAAAAAAGGTTCGGGTACATAGCCAACGTACATAGCCACAAGTGACGGTTTGAAATCCATTTTCCGGTAGATCGACGTCTTCAGATGTCTACTTTCAGGAACTCCTTTCGTTTGAAAGAATACCTACAGACTCTGAAATGGATGGTAGTCCAGATCAGTATAGTGTGATAGCTTAAAATCAGTTAACTGGTGTTCCAGTGAATCAATTACCGATGATCGATTACTAAAATACCCGTTAACTGTCCTATAACTTTAACAGGATCTATCCTTTGTACTGATTTGGTCAATGTGTATTGTTACAGTTGCCACTTATTGTGGATGCTCAGTTACAAGTTTTGAAGGTTAGGAATGAAGAAGCAATATATCATCGACATATTTCCAAAGTTAGTTAGTATTTGGATACATTATGACAATTTTGAAAACGTGGATGATCACACAGTCAAATTCGCTTTATTATTAGACATGTTTCTGTTAATTATCAGAAACCTTCTCCTTAAGCGACAGTTCGCGAGGCTTACAGCTGTTATTACAGTTGGAACCATAGCAACACCACATAAAAACCAACGGTTAAGTCCCCAGTTAACCTGAAATAACCGCGGTTAACCGACCGTTTTTCTGGTTAACCGGGCGCTTAACTGTCTGTTTTTTATGCGGTCTTGTTCTGTTCTCTATTTTAAAATTCCGAGTTTCATATGATTGTTGAGCGTTTTAAGTGCATGAAATAAGCGAAAACTTAGATAAAACGGTAATTTACCCTTGCTGCTTTTCTTGAATCATGAAAAAGTATTTAATAAAACGTGATACTCCGTAGTGTTTTATAAGCTGAAGATTGAAGGAGTGTCATGTGACTTACTGGAGTGGCTTACAAGCTGTTTCACTGTCAGTGAAATACCGCAGAGTACAGGTGGTCAGACTACCTGTGCTCTGTGGTTGTTATCAATAAAAAATCTAGATCACTACCATTCAAAAGAGGAATTCCTTACGGCTGCATTCTTTGTCCTCTGCTATTGTCCTGTTTATTGACAATACTTGTTTGATGTAGAACCAAACATGAGACTTCTAACAACAATACAACAATGCCAGAATTACACTATAAATCAATCTTATGATCAATATCTTATCTACCTGACATCCTTTTAGTGTGTTCATGCGTATCTTTCTTTTATTTTCGTTCTTATATCATTTTCGTATCTCTTAACCGTTCTATTATATATTCAACTCTAACAACATGTAATGGGTTTAAACCGATTTGATAACACATAAATAAGTTTAAGCTAAAGCAGGATGTGAATAATATGAATAAAATGACAGAATGCGTGGCTGACATAGTAATGAAACAGCGTACAGATGGAATAATCTCATCTGGTCAACCAGTTTCATATCGACACTTATTCATTCGAATAAGTGAACGAGAAATGATCGTATACTTTAAAAACCAAAAGTTTTATTGCATAAGGGAGAAACTTGTGAATGTATCGATTCAGATGCCCAAGAAATTGTTTATATTATAATTGGAAAACAAATAAAGTTTTCAAGCGCAAGTTTTGTTCAGATACGAGCAGAAACATATCGTAGAACATCGCCAATATCAGTTTTCTTTGACAATAAAATAATTTGGGTCAAAACTAACGCTTTCAAAAAGTTGATGAATTTCTGGACTCATTCCAGGATCTCATGTCAATGTAAAATAGTTCATTTTGTAGACAATTGATCGCTCTACAATCTGCGTTAAAACTGTTCTAGTATAATACACTTTGGCCGCGTGGTAACTATTTTAGTGGGAAAACCAACTTTCTTAGTCTGAAAAATTTGAATTTTTTTGACCATGAACTGATGACTTGGACCTCTTAGAACTAGCTTATCTTGTCCAACTTTTTTGCTCGCTGGATTCATGTGAAACTCAGAATTTTAAAATAGAGAACAGAACAAGAAAAAATTAAAATACGACAGAAGTCGATTTTTTATGGGGCTTTTTGTAAAAAATCCCTAACTCAATCAATTTTAGGCTCTAACATCTAAAAATTTGGGTTTCTGAGTAAATTTGAACCCTTTATCGAATGAGATCATAAAAAGCGTTTTAATTTTTGATCGTGATCATCCTACGCGTACTTAGAGTAATGCTTCATACGCCGGCGAACCGTCTCTTAAGTAAAGTCACGTTTTCAAAACAAACAATAAAAATGTAATTGTTAGCAAGGTTATAAACATGAATAAACGTATAGTAAAGAAATATTCTTAACATTCTTTGCTATGTCCCTCAGGATAAAGAATAATCTTTGTTTATTGTCTATTTTCATATTTTTGTTATCCATAGCTCAAAGTGACTTCGTTGTTCGTCAGTCTGATATCGAGGCGTTGTACTAAGAGTTTTAGTAGAATGAAAGACACAAAATACGAATAGAGAATTTCTCTCTTTGTACTTTGCGTTTTTTATTCTCTGGGAAAATTAATCAGTACCAAACTCAGATAAATCGGTTCTTGTTTGTCAAAAACCTTCTACTAACGCTTTTTTCAGGGAAACTTTAACATCGCTTCGCTTTAACAAATAGACATTTTATGCGGTTTTTGTCTTAAGAACGAAACAAACCAAGTTTAACTATACACATAATCCGTTTGCTGTTTCAAACGCATAAATAAAGATGACAAAAGAATTCAAAGTACAGGGTGAAAGTGTCGTTTTAGAATTACGAAACAGACTATTCTTATTCTGATACCTTGTTGGAGATTTAGGAAAATTTTAGATAAATAAAGATGTGCTATATCTCTAACTCAGCCTGATTGTACATTTGCGTTTAATTATTTTATACAAAGAGGATTTTACCACAATAGCTTATTCTCTTCCATTCATAAAATCAATCATTTCATTGGCCATCGATTTTCTTGTACTGAAAAAAATCTTTCTCTCTCGGTTTTTTTTCCTACGGAATTAATATCTTCAATTGTGGTTTAATAGAGGAAAAGAGACGTTTGGTCATGCATGAGGGAACGAATGACTGATTTGTCCTGTAAGTTGAAGGACTTTCAATGGTTTTCTTTTTGGACTGTACACGCAGCGTTTTGGTGGTAAGATAATGTTTTTTCTACGGACGATGTCTATAGGCCAAGGTAAGGTCTCCGCTCTGCATGAGAAGAAAAAAACGCATCAATTCGGTAAGTGGTATATATGAGGTAAAAAAAATGTTTAAGGTGGAGCCACCGCAATTGATCACTTTGTGAAGAAAAACCAGAAAATTACCATATATTTTTTCACCTGCGATATCTATATTTCTCTCTCTCTCTCTCTCTCTTTCTCTATTTCTCTCTGAAAAATAATCTTTATTATCTTCATTTCCTATATAAACGATGCATTTTTCATAGTCAGATTGCGCTCAGAAATCCGAAAGTACGACGACAAAGACGCATCATATAATCTAGTATTATTATCAGTAGAGAAAACTAAAAAATGGTTGCCATTGACAAAATTGGTTATAATTATCCATCAGTTCATTTAAATGATTTGATCAATCAAACATTAGCTCAAAAAGTTCATCATGAACAAAATGTTTCACATGAAGCACCAAAAAATGATGTATCAAGCAAAATTTCACCACAACAATTTGGACTTGATCATAATCCATCTTTACAATTTGCAACAAAAGGTGGCGGATTTGTTCAAGTATTTGGTCCATTAAAAACACCCGGCAATGATAAATTTTTTCAAGATCCAAATCCAGTAGTTATTCGACAAAAATCAAAACCGGTTACATATGTTCAAAAAGTTTCACTGGCTTATTATAAACCACCAGCACCACCAGCACCAGGTCCAGTCATAATTAAAGAAGTAAGTGTCTTTGTGATATTTTTTAGAACTTTTCAACTATCCATTAACATTTAGGTACGTCCACCTCAACAACCAGCCCCACCACCGCTTTTCGTACGAATTCAACCACCACCACCACCACAACAACCACCTCTTGTCATCAGGGAAAACCCACCTCCTCGTCCAAAACATGTGCCAGTAAGTGATTTCACCAGCTTCTAATTATACAGCGATATTTAAAGAAGATCTACATAGGCAAAGAAAAGATTTTTTGAACGGACATATCGACTTTGATTCACTATAGACAATATTGATTACGTAAGGCTTGCTTTTCTTGTCGAAAGGATATTACATGAGTATAAAAACATTCTGTTCAAGATAATTGGATTTAAATGTATTTTTAATCTTTTAGGCAACAGTTGTGACGAAGATGTTACCAAATATGCCTCCACCACCACCAAGAGTCATTGTACGTAATGCACCCAACAAAGAAGTGGCTGCAAAAATCGCATCCGCTTACACTAATGGTTTAAACTCAAACTAAATCATTTTTGTACGCTAGAATCGATATTGTAGTGTAATTCTTTTAGTTTTCGATAAATTTTGTGTGTGAGTGTGCAGATTTTCTCTATTTTTATATGACTATTATACGGTGGTTTGTGTGAGTATGCGTCTTTCTCTTCAGTATCTTTCTTTCTTTGAATTTAAAATAATTTGTTTATGAAAAGAACGTATGTGGGGTTATATTTTTCTTTCTAACTTTCTCCTCATAAAGAAACATTAACTGTTGTTTTGTATGAACTATTTTTGGCAACAAAAACAAAAGATATGGTACCATTTAACATTAGCTAGCTAACTTCGAACTACAATCCAAAAATTTACAAACTATTTGAAGAACATCAACAATTGCGTCTAAACGTCGTCGACAATAGCAATGACAACAACAACAACGATTCTGAGATGAACAAACAAAATTAAAGAAGACACTTATCGTAGTGAACTGTTATTTTTCTGCATCGAATATCTAATGTTCGACTCTTTCTTTTTTCCGTCTGTCTTTTTTTTTTTTGCTTTGTTCAACGAAGGTATAATTAATTGAAGAAAAAAGATAAGATTTTACATATTTAACACACTATCTTTTATTTTGATGGCCAAACAGCTGAAATGGGTCAAGACTTTTCTAAAAGAATTGTTTTAGCAAAAAAACAACAACAAAAAAAATAAATTTCAAACTCATGTAGTTTACTAAAAACCAGTAATTTCAATTCAAAAAATTATACTATACGTAATTAATTGTCGGTGCGATAATAAAACTTTCTAAAGCGTTTATATGACAGTTTGAAATCGTTATCGCAAGAAATATATAACTGAAGACAAGATAAGCAATTACAACTATTTCAGTTTGTTAAATTTCATTTACATATGGTCAGAAACATTTTAATGCACAGACGATTAATTTTTAATTATTAGAAATTTATTTCTTCACCAATTTTAACATATCTAGGTGTAATGTATATTAATTTGAATGTAGATCACTAAGAAAAATCATCAAGACAGATCATGTTTTGCGAGGAATGAAGATCGAATCTGTGAGTACGACAATTGATCACTATTTTCGTTTTTAAACAATTGAATTAGTAAGACTTAAAAGAAGTCTCACTAAATGTGCTATGCAAAAAAATAAAATTCCAAATATCAACTGTCTAATGCCTGTTATAACAACAACAACAACATTATTATTATTACAATATGTAAAAAAAAAACAAGAAAAAAACAAACAAAAACAAGATAAAAAAATATGAAGAGTTTTTTTTCTGAGTTTAATTCTTTGAGTATGACAGTAGATATATATTTTATTTATATTCACACTCATTTAAGTTCAATGGAAGAGAAAAAGCGGACAAAATGAAAAATACACATAAAATAAATAAATAAATTCAACATCTACCAGCCGCTAAGAAAATTTTGCATGTCACATAAACATTTGATTTATAAATTCTTTTAAAGCCAAAAATAATTAACAAATATAAAATTTTGATTTACCACAAATGAAAGAAAATAAGTGCGTTTTATTAGACGACGATACAAACAAAAAACAAAAAAAAGAAATAAATCACTCCTATTTCTCTTCTTTTTTGACCACAGTTACATCGGGATAGGTATGCATACTGGCTATTTGAACAATATCTTCAGCTTTATAAGATGGATACAGACCATGTTGTCCATTGTTTTTATCTGATCCTTTTGACCAACCATCCCAGTGATTACCTTCTATACCCAAAGTATCACCTTTATTAAAATCAAATTCATCGGAAAATTGTCGACGATGAGAAATAAATGCACGTTGATCATGTGCATTTTGACCACCAAAATAGTAAATATCATCTAACGATTGAATACGCCACGCTGCATCTGGATGACGCTGTTGCATAATTTCATATGCAACGCGGCAAATCTAAAATGACAAAATATATATCATGGCTTCGTACTGAGGTTTTTCTACAAAAAAGAGGAATTAAGAAGGAAACGCAAAATTTTGAAAAGAGGAATGCTACCAAAAAAGGAGGATATCAATTCTAAGCTAGAAATACTAATTTAACATAATAAATAAGTGCAACAGAATTTGATTATATTTTGATACAAATGGAGTTTTCCGGTATCTTTTGAAAAACTTTATTTTAGAAAAATTGAGCGAAAGAAAAGAAAGTGCCTGACACATGTCAAAGAGAATGAATGGAATCTTCTGAATTCGAAATGTGCAAGGTATTTATATACGATGAATAGAGAGAAAAGGAAAATGTCCATTAAAAGGATTACTGATGACACGATACTAGATATTGACGGAATCAATGGACGGTTTTTCAGTCTTGATCCCGGAAATTTTCGAAAAATTTATATTTGAATATGGAAAAATGGTAAGTTCATCGGCCTTTAAGAAGGCTCTTTGTTTCAACGCTGTTCTAAAACCAGCCAACTTTGTCCATTTTTTACCAAAAAGGACGAAAAAATGGGCAAAAGGAGGTAAAAGAAGGAGAAAATTTTATTTAAGAGGAATAGAGAGGAAGTCATCTTCGACAAGTCATCTTGCTAAATAAAAAATTCAAAATAAATCATTTAGTCTAGTATTTAATTAAGCTTTACGATAAAGTTGACTGAACGTCTATTTAAAACAAAATTGCAAATAGTTAAAGCATTACATACCTGAGATGAAAATGTACACACTAAATAATCACTCAATGAGAGAAAATGTATGTCCAAAACGACGCCTTTCAACGATTCTGTTCCATATCTTGAATTTAACTGTGCCGTTTGTGATATATTAGCATCACCATAAAAAATATAATCGGGAAATCTAGTGGAAACAAAACATAAACTACAAAGCATGTTTGCACGAAGCGACAGTAGCTTTACTTTGAACGTGCATCTTTAAATACAGATGGATCATCGGTGGCAATGAAAACCCGTTTAACGAGCTTCACAGATGGATATTGATATTGATGAATGTCATAATATTCTTGAACATATTTCATATATTCACTTATATCATGATAAGAAGCTTCACTACCAATCTTATCTGTTCTTCTAACATGAATTCTAAAATAAGAAGAAAAAATCGTCTCATCAATATTATACTGAAATTAAATAATATTAGAACAAAATTCATTAGTACCACAAAAAATTAATAAATAGTGTCTCACCCAACAACTGGTGAATCAAATTGTATTTGTTCACGTTTTTTTTCGATCATTTCAGCTAGCCATGTTTGTGGCCTTAGTAAATATTTCATTAGTTGTCCAGTAAACCAAGAGAATGGATGTCCAGTTAATTTAATTAAACGCTGAGATAAATCTTCCGGTATTGCCATTGGGAGAAAATTTACACGTGGATGAATATTATCAATTAACGGCAATTCAATAACTTGAGATGATTCATAATTTTTTCCTAAAAGTTTTAAAATACAAATAAAAAATACTAAAATATCCTATATTCACAAGAAAATTTACTTACCCCAAGGTTCAGATCCAGCTGTCATCTCTTTCGTACATTTGTTACTTAATGGTTCAAAGATTTTATCAAATCCATCGGGATTATAACGCCATCCTTCAGAGAGCAAAATCAATGGACGACCGAGCGCATAGGCAATATGAAAACAATGCATGGCATGATGAATTTCACAACCGTATCCACACCCTTTGTTTATATTGCATACAAGACGTTTCGTTTGTGTACAATCACTTGATGGATTTTGTAATTTCTTTAAACGTGCTTGTATTAAATTAGATAAATCTTTTGCTTCTTTTTCACGCCAAGAATTATAACCATCAACTTTTGTTAAGTTCCGTATTGATGCCAATAGCAATCTTGAAAAAAAGACAATTAACTTATTAGAGAAGCTTCTTGTCAATTACAGCGTTACCAAAATAGTGAAAAGCCCGTGCTTAGCATGCTTAAGCGTGCATTCTCTTCTCAATTAATCTAAGGATGTTAGTTGAGCTATTGTATTTTGTTAAACATCAGCCTAACAGACTTATTTTAGTTGATGGATTCATCTGAACACTAATCGATAACATCTCACCATAAAATCCAGGTGATCGCTTAAAATCTTCTGGAATGAAAGATGTAAATGAATCAGTAAGAACTATATGATCTCCCTGTGGATAAAGATAATACTGTTTTTTGTGTGATATATATTTTCTTTTACCAACAGACCTACTTTGATCACCAAAACGATCAATAACATTTTTCAATTGCTCTTTGTCTTGTTCACTTAATTTTGCATCAAATTTTTCTAACTGCTTTAACGTAAAATAGGATAGTTCACGAGCTTGAATTTCAATTTTTCGTCGCAATTGTTCATATTCCAAACCTGGTCCAACTAAAAATGAAAAAAACGATAGTGTATGATGAACTAATCAACAAGTGAGGAAAAAAACATACATTCTGGTGATGTAGATTTTCGTGATGACAGTTGCTCTTTTACTAAGAGTAACTCATTCTTTAATTTTTTCCAATTGTTATCTGGATTTTCATTTACTTGTGCGCTATAAACACAACGAATTTACAGCTTTTATAAAAGAAACGAAATGTTTTCGCAATTATTAAGGATTTTCGGTATATTAAAATCAATTCAAAGCAGAACTGCGTTCTCTGATAAACTTTTCTCATCTTTTTCTAATCTTTAGATAAAATTGACTACATATAAAGTGATTTGCCGGCATTTTACATTTGCATCAAGCTCTACAAATTATGCTGTCTCTCAATTGTTGCTATATTCTGTTCTTTATCTTTTATTCATTTACTTTATTTGTTGTACTTTCTACAACATGCAATAAATGTGTATTAATTTGTTATTAAATAAAAAAACGTTTAGATCTAATGTAAAAACAAAAAGCTTTTTTTTGCCTATCTGACTTTACCTATCTGACTTTACATTGTTTTTTAATTTTGATATTTGTTTTCGAAGACTATCAACCTCTGTTTGTAGAGATTCGATGCGATCATTAACTGCTCTACTAACATCTGACGGTGGTGTATGAAATGTATTCAAAATAAAATAAAGGCCAATAAGCCAAATTGAAATAAAAAATATATAAATTTTATTTCCGAACCACATTATTTCAAAATGTTACATGTAAAATCTGAAATACATGAGGTAAATGTCTTTTTGATGTTTTAATACATTTGATTTCGATGCTGTTTCTCGATTTGAAGTATGAGACTTTTATTTATGCATATAGTGCGTAGGCCAAAACAATTGACTATTTACATCTCACGATAATTTAATGATAAATACATGCAGTACAAACAGATGCGTCCAAACATCTGCAAAATTAATTCAATTTTCTCGACACAGAATATGATAAAAGATGGATTTAAAATCCATTAAGCAATGAAGTGATAGATATAGACTTTTCAGTTTTAGTATAAGATTTTAAAAAAAAAGAATTTATTAACCACTTTTGCAAAATAAATTTCTTTTTTTTGCATTGTTTTTCCGCTTTTCTATTATAACGACTGTTTCTAGGGACGAAGGATAACCACGATGATTGATTGGTGCAAAAGAGTTCCAAAATAAAGTCTCTTTCAAACCATTTGCTACTGAGATACAATATGTAGCAGTACACTTCTAACAGTTGTCAGTTTATTGCACGATTGTATCTGATAGTGTTTTGCCATTGTAATGTATCGCTACTATGCCGTTGTTCGCCTAAATTTTAGTGAAAACTGACTCTGATTAGAATCACAGAATATATGGACAGTTAATTTCTTCACTCCAGAAATAGAGGTAGATTAACCTTACAGCATAAATGTAGAATTTCATTTCGGATTTTGATAAAATTCCACCCGTACTCCTTGTTTTTCTCTCGAAATATTGAACAATAAACATTGAACAATTCGTTTTCTTTTCTTAAACTTTTGTACAAATCAACTCAAAATGATCGTAGTAAGAGCTCGATATTAATTGTAAGTAGTTAGAATAGTACATAGTTTCGATTGCAATTTTTTATACCATAGATATGTCAGCTTATCTTTATCATCATATTAAGGTGAAGAAAAAAATAAAGTTCATTTAGAGTTGCGGAAAAGTGTTTTTTCATACTCAACACACTCGATAATTTCGAAGATTTTCGATTGTTGCAAGAGGTACTGCCAAAAGTTTAAGAAACATTTTGAAACTAATATTATTTTCCCTCGGTAATTTTTTTTTGGCTATTTTGTTTGAAAATGTTTCTTAAACTTTTGGCAGTACCCCTCGCCAAAAATCGAAAACCTTCAGAGTTATCGAGTTGGCTGAATACGAAAAAACACTTTTCCGCAACTCGCTGAAAAGCCGCTATGGCTGAGTGATTATGTTGTTCGGCACGTACTTCAAACCGTGTTCGAACCTCGGCGTCACCCAGTCATCACTCGGATCACCCGTCCGATAGCATGTTCACTACGTTGTCACATACAGCGGTACTTCGGTGCTAGTATGTGGTTAGTGAGTGCGTATGGGGAGCTCGAGCAGTTGGGCGAAAAGAACTCTGTGTCAGGCTGACCTTCTGTCCAGAGCTACAGCTTGCTTGGTGACTAGTAGAAGAACGGATGACCGTCTCTGAAGATCATCAGCTGTAGGGAAGATATCGACTTATCGAAACTGCTTCGACAGCACCCTATACCGCAAGCTAGCCACAAGGCGGGGTCTTCTTCCTTTTTCCTTCCTTTCCGCAACTCTAAATGAACTTTAATTTTCTATCGGTGGTATGATCGTTTTACGCCTGTTCCAGTTAAGAGCAGTTTCAATGAAGTTAAAATGTGGAAGTTTTTAAGAAGTGCTAAATTGAATATTAATCATCTGAATAGTTATGAACTATTTAACTAAATTAACAATTTGCATAAGGATAAAGGAACTTCACAAATTAAGTACTGCATCGACTTCGTAACCATAAAATAAGCGATTAAAGCATAGTTCTGCCCGAATCAGAGTATTGAAATTATTGTATATAAGAGAGAAAGAACAAAATTAAATTATAAATAAAATAATTATTTTTTATTAATAAATTTAAGTGGTATGTTACGATGTTGATGACATCTTTTTCAGACAAATTAAAAACATAGAATAGGCTGAATTAGACTATAAAAATATAAAAAAGGATAAAAACAGACAAATTTTTTAGATAGTGCGACTGTGAAACTGATATGCCGGAACGAAAGAAAAATTAGTTGAAATTAATAATTCAATTTGAATTAAAAAAATTTAGAAGTCAAATTTTGCTCATGGAACAACGTCGTTTTAATGGCAGAATTAGCTACTGAATTCATAAGGATTTTTCAATGATAAAAGAATTTGTTCTAAATCAATTTTCGATAATTAAAACTTTCAATGAGATTTATACCAATATCAGTATATCTGGTTAAGAACTGTTCAGTCCATTGTTGAATTGTTATACTTCAATCCAGTTCATTTGGTGTTTTTAATTTGCATGAAAAAGACCAACGACATCAATATGACAGTATAAGATTGTGATTACGTGTAAAAATAATAGAATTAAAATAATTGAATACTTAAAAAATGCTTATTGTTTATACAGAAGCATTACACTTCACTTTTTTTGTAGAGTAAAGAATGAATTACTTTATGAACTTTAATAACTATAAAAGGCTTATATTTTGTCACACGCGTTCATTCCATAAGAAAATAAGAAAATGTGTAAGAGGAAAGTTGGTTTTCTATCATCCTTCCTTTTAGATCTGTGTCGATCGCTTTTCAGTGTCATTTTAACTTTTCTCTCAAAAAATCTATGCTCCCTGTTCTATTTTATTTCGGCGACATTGCTCACTCTTGGACCTTTAGTGAAGCGGTCACAATTTTTTTCGAAATCGTAACACATCATGTGTTACGACTCCGAAAACAATTGTGGTGTGAGTCACTACTTCAAAGTTGGTGATTTTTTATTCATTTCGCTTATAAGAAGTGTTGCCAACAGGTCAACATATTCGCAAAAAGTGGCACTTTACATGCTTAAAAGTAAAACATTTTCAAAGTAATTTAAACGGTTGCTTGAAGAGTCACTACTTTTCTTTATAAATAAAGTATTAAAATAAACAAAAAGTCTTTCACCATAGTGTATTTAACAAAAAATGCTACACACACAACTATTCAAAAGTATGCTATCACAAGAAATCTATCTTGTTCATACTAGCGTTTTGCAAATTCTACCGGTTATAAGTAAACTAACTATAGAGTTGCAAAATAAATGGGCGTATACATTAACTATGATTGTATAACTCCTGGCATAAGTGGGACAAATTGTGAAAAAATATTCCCCAAACTCAGGACTGATTCGCCCCCTAATAACCGATTACGTTTCTTTTTTCCAGCAAAAGATAAATAAGGCATACTCTCATGGACTGTAAATACTTCCTTCTCCGTACAAAATTTTATTCGAGCGAACAATACGTGCGTGATTAATGATTAGGTTAACACCTATATTTCCAGTAGACACTATTGTTAATTTATCATGTTCAATTCTGATTGTATGAGGATGCAAATAATAAGAAACAAAATAAATAAAAACATAAAAACTAAAAGATATAAAAAATAACAACAAACAAATCCAGTTGAGGGAGTGAATCTAAACAAAAGCAACGTTTACTCACATCCACAGAGAAAGACGTTCTAATGACTCTGTCCTGTTTTTCTCTTCTCTTTCTTTTCCGGGAATGTCGAGAACTACTGCCGAGAAATTTTTCTTACTCCTTTCCCTATAGTCTGAAGCGTCAGACCAGCCCTTCCCACTGAGAAAAATATTCAGATGGCATAGATTACCCACAAAACGTGGTACAATTGTCAAGGCTGTATGTAATTCTCAAATTTATTGGATGAAAGTATTAGATTTAAATAAGGACCGTTGACATTTCATTTCTGTTTATTTTCTTGCCAACTCTGGTTTCAGAGATATCCAACATGTTTCACCTTAGAGAGTGCGTTTTACAGTGAAATAGCGACCGCCAAAATGATAAACCGCGTCGCTGGACTGTTTGGCTGATTAGCGAATTTTTAGTTTATTACAAAAAGAGGTTACTAATTAAAAATTAAGAAACAGACTGATGACACCCATATCAAACTAAGGAATCCATAAATTTCGATTCGTGAACACTACAATCGCCGCAAAATTTCGAATTTCACATTGATAGTAGAGCTTTATAGATAAAATTTATGAATATCTTCGTTTGACGCTCAAGATGCATGCATGTCAGACCATGTCTACTTAATGTGCTTTAGTCAGTTAGAAAGAAGAGTGATTGAATTAATACAACATCTCACTGACATCTATATACTTCAGGTGCTATTATAAGCTTTTAAAAGCGAATGGTATAACAGATATTCCAAGGTCACTAGTTGTTCTTGGCTGATGGAGGGAAAAAAGTGCACTATATCAATAGTGAGGTACTAACACGATCTGTTTGAATTTCTTTTCACTCATCGATCTTATTCGCACGGCAAAAGATTGGGATGAAATGAACTTTTAATGTGCTTGAGTTAAATTGATTAGGCTAAAAAAATGCATATCAATTCAGTCGAGAAATTTTAAAAGCGTGTTCGGTCAAAACTGACTGCAGATTCGGACTTTCCATAGCCGATTAACTTTTATATAAGAAGTGTTGACTCGAGGTACTCCAGAAAAATTTTCTCCATTGTTTTGCAAAGGAATTTTTTACGAAGTTCCTGGAGAGGAAACCAAGGGCTGAGTGAAGCTGAGAAAGTTTTCTAGAGTACCCCGATTCTAAATTTGTTGCGTACAAGGTAACCGACTATGGAGAGTCCAAATCTACAATCAGTTTTGGCCGAACACGCTTTTAAAATTTCGCGACTGAGTTGATATGAATGAATTATGAATGATTAGTTTTTTGTAAATCCCGAAATCTCTTGCTTTTTCAGCTCGGTCGAGGAAAATTTTTTTGAATGTTGATCACCTTCTTACCATTATCATCCACACGTCCAGAGAGCAGTGTTTTTAATAAGAATTTTTTTCACAGTAGAACTTTCCACTTTGCTGTTAGCGTCAAAATAGGATTTTCCACTCTGATATGAAATGTAAAGTGGACAAAACGGGAACAGTTGAAATTTTTGTCTAAGAGCGGCTAAAAGAGATTTTTTTTATTATCACAGGGGATTCGTTTTACCAGAAATAATTAGTTTTTCAGAAAAAAATTCTGAATGTCTATTGAATATGAGTTTTGAAAGAAATATCCCAGTTTTGCCTAAGAGTATAGGAAAATAAAAAAGTTATATTGCAGTTAAATGTAACCAAACGGAGTTGAAGTTTCAGGGGATTCTGGAAAAATCTTTCACACGTCTATTTCAGTAGGCTAAATATCAACATGAAAAGTTCTCAGAACTACAGTCTGTAAATTAGTAGTTTTCTCTGTTCATACCATCGATGGAAGTCCTAGAACATCTGTTTATAAACTACAGGTGATGAAGATATACCAGTATGAGTGTCTTAAATAATGCTTTCTATCTAATTAGTTCGAGAAATTTTTGCAAGATAGAGAGAAAGATTACGGTTGTTTTGTTTTGATAACTTTTAACGTTGCAGTTTGACCTGAGAGTGTAAAAAGCAAATGAAAATTTTCATGTTAAAAAAGAAACTATCAGCGCTAGTCAACATGTTCACTATATTTTTCCTCAAAAGATGTATTATTTCATTTGTAGATGTATGATAGGAATATGATTATAATATTATATATGATTATGAAAAGAAGCCAAACAATCAAAAATCCGTATTTTTCAATGTGGAACATACAGTATTGTGGTATTAATCTTCATTTTCTTTTTTACTCTCTGTTTAAATTAATCTTATCTCTATTCTACTCACAGAGCTGTCACAATTGAACAGCAAGAAGGCTGCACACATCTCAATATTGGAAAATTTTCCTTTTTTATCAGCAGAAATTAGCGATTATCCCCCTTTAATGTTTGATTGGTCGAGACATTCCTCTCTATCCACTATTCAAAAGTGTTTCAGTTACCGTGCTACTGATCAATGTATACTGGAAGTTATTTAAGTCACTCTCAGCACGCATTGATAATAGCGATGATAGAATAATTACTTAAATAACTTATTTCAGTCTCTAAAGAATTTTACAATGTTGAGGTAAAAGTTTAATTTTAACAAGTTTAACAGAATTTGACTAGTTTGATAATAATTTAGTGGGCAACTGCTAAATTCTACATTGTTTCATAAAAATGTCTTTCTTACAGAATAAAATCTTAAATTCGTGAAGGCATCAAAAATGAATAGCATAATTCTTTAGCGACATACAGCTTAGACGAAAACAAACCATACTTATTTTAACTTATAGTCGTGACACTGGGCGTTAGTTATTGTATACATTTCTTTTTATGAAATTGAATCGAAGATAGTGATGTCGATCACGTAGGATATTTCGTGTGTGCATGTGATAGTCTGTGTACTAAAGAAAATACTCAGCTTTTTTTCATTGAACGTATAAATACGTTTTTTTTATTTTATCGTTAAATTAGATATATCATTCTTTCATTTTTATCTTCAATCTGTTTCTTCCTCTCTCTCTCTTTTCATTTCATGTTATTTGTGTAAACAATATGTTGTTTGTTTAGTATAGTTAAAACTTCTCTTTTTTCCCTTCTCATCGACACAAATTAATAGATTAGGTATGCGCGTGTGAATGTGAATCCTGTACAACATGGTTATTGGTACTAGATTTCATCCACACTATATTGAAATATATGAATAATTGTCGTTCGATAAAAAAAAGATTTGAATGATGACACCTTTTTTCTTTGACTATTTGATCTCATTTAACAACTAAAAATGGCATAGGTTTAATTGTTATGGACTTGTACGAATACATTTTATTACTTATTCTACCACAACTAACAGTTGAAGAATATGTAGTTGGTTGCTATTTTACAAATTGGGCACAGCATCGACAACAAAATGCACAATTTTTACCGAGACATATTGATCCAAAGTTATGTACACATTTATATTTTGCATTTGCTGATATTGATATAAAACTTAAAATACCGACAACATTTGAAAAAAATGATATTCTTCCAACAGAAGCACTTTCACCACATCATTCTTTTCAACAATCCATTGATTATCAAATAAAATCAATGATGGGTAGTGGAGATTTAACAACAGTAGCACTTTCACATCCACAACAAAAAATTGGTTTATATGAACAAGTGAATCGATTAAAACATGATAATCCACAAATGAAAACACTTTTATCATTGGGTGGTGCATCGGTGAATGGAACAAAATTTCGACTCGTTTTTGGTAATGCAAATAATCGAAAAGATTTTATTCGAAATACTGTTAAATTTTTACGAAAACATAAATTTGATGGTCTCGATCTTGATTGGGAATTTCCTGAAAATGAAAATGACAAGAAAATATTTTCAGAGTTAGTCAAAGATTATCGTCGTGAATTTCAAAATGAAGCTTTTGTTACTAATCGTGTACGTTTATTATTAACTGCTGCTGTGCAAGCGTATAAACCAAAAATAGAAGCCGGTTACAATGTGGCACTTATTGGACAATATTTGGATTTAATTAATTTGATGGCATATGATTATCATGGTATGTAATATGTGTACATGTCGAATTTTGTGTCGTTCGTCAAAGAGAAAATGTAACAAATCTTTTGAAATATCTGTCCACTCGAATGAGACAAAAGTCCGGTTTTTTTTCATTGATGATGATGTATATTCGTATTTTTTTTTCTAGGGGCATGGGACCCTCAAACTGGTCATAATAGTCCTTTATTTTCTCGGAAAGAACAACGAAATAATGAACTACTATTAAATCAAAAAGCATCTATTGATACTTGGTTAGAATATGGTGTACCCAGTAATAAACTCGTATTAGGTATGCCTATGTATGGTAGAACATTTCGTTTGAGAAATAAGAAGAATACACAAATCAATTCAGCAGCAAAAGGTGCGGGTAAAAAAGGTAAATATACATTGAGCGATGGATTTTTGGCTTATTATGAAATATGTGATTTAATCGCGAATCAAAAATGGAAAAATGAGTGGAGTAGTGATCAAGAAATACCGTATGCGTACAAAGATGATCAATGGGTTGGTTATGACAATGTTGAAAGTATTAGAAAAAAATCTCTGTATGTAGCTGAGAGAAATTTAGCAGGCGCTATGGTTTGGTCTCTGGATCTTGACGATTTTACAGGGGAATTTTGTAAAGCTGGAAAATACCCGTTATTAACTACAATAAAGAAAACATTAGATACATTACAACCACCCACCACACCCATTCGTATACAAAAGATGACAACTGAAGCGTCGTCAATCGCTACCTCGTCATTCTTATTGTCATCAGCCTTATTTCATCATAATATCGTATTTCAGTTGTTGTTATTATATTTTTGTCGCTCATTTAGCTATGTTAATCGAAGTTAACTATTCATTTCTCAACTCTCAATACTGTACATTTTATTGAAAAATCAATCGTTAATGTGTAATCTTTCTCTCTCTCTCTCTCTCTTTCTCTCTTTCTCTCTCTTTTTACCATCGTTTTATTAGGCAATAGCATAATTTGGTATCATCTTCAAGTACTAGACCGAAAGATAAGTTACGATTTCTAATTCTTTACTCTTTCTATTTTAAAAGAACTCAGTAAGGTACATAAGCTTAAATAAAATAATTATTCGATCTCAATAAAGTATTGTTCAATTCTACACTTATTTATAGAAATCATATTGCTTGTTTGTAGTTTATTGCCTGTGAAAATGAAATGAAACTAGAATGTAATTGTGTTGAAAATTGCGAAAGCTGTTTTTCTCAAGAGATTACTTTTTTTTAATGAAAATTGAATAAGAGCTGACGCTGTGCTCATTACTAAAGCAATATCATAATTGTCATTAACAACCATCGATTTGAATCAGATTCAGTGTATCGAGTAGAGATATACATATCTATATTTATGACTTTATTTGAGAATGTTGGCGACGAAAATCCGGTGTGATCCCTCACCTTTTGAGATACGAAAATGTTCGAAGGTAAAGAATTATCTCATCAGATAGAAAGAATGAAAGGATATAAAATCTGAGGAAATATGACGGCTTTTCTGGGTCTATAGCGAATCAACGGTAGAGTTCTGAAATTTTAGAAATGGTTAGCTTGTAGTTTAGCGGATAATGAATCGAATGTGTTTTCAATGATTCAACTTGGATAAGGGATATCGAAATAAGTTTGACAGAAAAACGTTTTATCGAGTGCGGCATATCTAATGAAAAAAAAGACGCGACTGGCTACTGCAATATGCTTGATATTAAAAGATCTGCGAACTTGGATAAGATAGTGCCTTAATTATCGCATTGTTATTGCCTGACAAATTCGAGACTGGTAATCGCTATATTAATAGGAAATACTATTGGATTTAGCATGGGAACATAGGCATTTAGCCTCTGTTAAATCGATTCATAATTTGAAATGTTAGCCTGTCCCATAACCTACAGGAACGATAAATGTGAAAAAGTGCATTAGCACAAAAATTTGTATTGGCAAAATCTATCCGTTTGAAGAAAAATCGAATGGATGGTACCGAGTAAATAATTCGATTTTAACTGCGAATCATAAAACTAGAAGTTCAATACAAACCGTAGATTCATTTCGAATTATTGATATTGTTTTTCTCAAGAGAATATGTATTTTCTTCATGCAGACTAATATAGCCGTAGGTCGCGTTTTATATGCTTTCAACAGCTGGAGTGAGCCTAAATAACATGAGTGTACATGTCAACGATATTTTATATTCGAGTCTATGTGATAGCGATACACTAACATTTTTGTATTCAAAGCATCCAGAGCCTATAATCTGAGGTATGTCGGTATAATAACAAGAAATTAGTACATTTATTGTTAAGTTTAAGTGATATTGCTAAAATATACATTCATACAAAATATATTCAGTTATATATTGCATGTCAGAGTGATGATTCTGAAGTACGTTTAAAGGTGGTATAATCAAACTAATATTAGAAGAAATTTATTAATTTAGTCAACATTCTAAAGTGTGGACACTAGTTATCTTTATTTTTTCTCTTTCTAGTGATTTTCCATCTAGTATGTTTTCAACTTCAGTTTTTGTTTAGTTTTGTTTTGTCTGCTTTAGTTAAAGATATAAATGAGCAAATATGTTTTCAACTATTAATTTGATCAACATTACGAGCTAGCTATTACAGCTATAATGGCATTGACGCAAATTGATCTTGATTTATGTAGTTCACCTTCATCGATAGAATATCTGAATAATAAAACTGATGTCGCTATTTATCAAAATAGCGTTGACCTTATATCAAACCAAATATTTAATGAACAACAAACAGAACAAGAGAATATCGACATCGATTTGCTATTGATTCAACATTAGAATTATTAAATTTAATTTTACAATCGTTCAATGTATACTTAGACTATAAACTATTTAAATAGAATTAAAAATGATAACAATAATGGGTGAGCCGGAAGTTTTTAGACAACTTTTTATGTTTAATTTTCATACATACGTTACATAATCTTTCTTAGTCAATTCTTATACTATACTAGTTTGAAACTTTCAAATGAATTTTATTGTCTTTATTTCGCTGAATACGACTTACTACGATTTACTTTGATGAATACGTTGTCTTTGTAGACAAACATATATAACATTCATTTCTTTGAAAATTTAAGTGAGCTTTTACGGTGCTGCACACCAGAAATTGTTAACTAGTGACATCAACAGTTTTTGCCCTTGTTGCAAAGAGAATGAGTACTGAATTTGTAAGAAATGTTGCAGACTTTGGAATAGTTTGTAATAGATAGTTTTTCCGTCACTTCACTTTATTACTAAGAAGAGGGTCTTCTTGTAAATGGTAGCGGTATAGTGGTCAAAAAACTTTTCCACGTTCACAAAAACGATTCTTTTTCGCTTGTCCAAAGTATATTTTGTAGACATCTTTTGACATCTTTTTCCCCGTTAATAGAGATATACTTTATATATAAAATTCAATTGAAAGTTACAAACTTGTTTAAAAGCTGATTAGAAAGGACTATGAAGCAGAATAGAAATTGAGCAGACACAATTATCTAGAAACGCTTGGGTCACCCTCCGTTAACAACAACATACAAAACAGTTTCAATATTAATTCAGATATTCATTCCATCAGTAGACGAACCGTATTACAACAAAATCTTGACATTATCCATTTGTTAGTGTCAGGCGTCGTACATATAGAATGATGATAAGAACACTACACAATGAAACAATGTGATTGAAATAAACAAATTTAATAATAATCATAACATACAATTGTAAGTGATTTCAATCATTTGTTTGCCTGCCTTTTCTCAATTTCTTTGAAATGCTACATACAATTCGTCACATTACTAATACATTTAAATTACTATCGTTCATTTTAAGAAAATAGATTAGACGTTCTATGTTGTAAAATAGTTTAGATCTTCTAACTCCCGCATTGTTCTGCTAGGACCAAACTCAAGTAACGCAAACGAAAATGATAAACTAGTCGAACCTATACTTAGATGCCGTGCGACTAAACGTTATCCACTTTCCATTGGTGATTTGAAGGATATTAAGAGTCATTTAGAGTTGATTTGATCTTGTTTTTTTTCACAATGAAAGCGGAGTAGCCCACTGTTTTAAAACTTAACTGTCAAAAAACACAAAATTACTTTTGTATTGATACAGACTCAAACATCAGGTTTGCCGTAAACTGTATAACTAAGAAGTTGTGGGATCGATTTGATGGTGCTATAACTTGGCTACTAATTTATTGAATAAATTACGAAATGAATCTTTGTTCACTATAATTCCAATATCCAAATATCATCAGTTAGTCGACTTTAATTTTTAAGCTGTAACTCACTGATTTTCATTATTATCGTTATTCTATTTGAAATAATTACAACCTTTATCTATACGCAATGGATTGCATTCTACACTTAGGCTGGTAAAAATGGGAATCAGTTTCAGAGACAAAAAGTACATAATATCAACAATTAGTTCTATTTAACGATAATAACAATTGCTAAAGCGAAAGAATAATACTTTCGTCATAAATCGGTTCGAAATGACAAATGATTAACTAATTCGAATATAAATGATATCTTTAAATCAATACCAGTACTCAATGAAGCATATCACTCGTTTAAGCAGAAAATTGCCATTTTATGAAAATATGGTACTTCTATTTGTACTTTTTTTCAGGTCGTCATACACTAAATCAAGCACGGTTAGCGAGTCTATTATTTCGACAACAGCATTTGTGAATAGAATGCAATAACAAACCAATAGTAGCAAAGCAAATTTCGTCTTTAGCATTGCCCGATTTATCAGCCGTTAAATTATCATCTAAATTATTTTCTAACAATGAATTACGTGCATTAATAAGGTCAAACTTGAATTTGATCTTATCATTACCTTTTCGGTTATTAATCGGGGGCGATCTAAGAGATATTAGCATCAACTGTTGTGTACTTACAGATGTATGGTGTGTGTTTCGTTTATAAAAAATTTTGAAGTCTAACCTAAGTTTAGATAAAACTAAGTTTTTGACTTAGATTCATCAGAAGCTAAAGTGCGTCTTAGTCTATTTATCAAATATGACCGAAAGTAGACAGGCATCCAGTTTAATTTTAGCTTATATTTTGTGTGATTAGGTACTTCAGGATTAGATCATATCTAATATTTATCGGGCTTTTATACTTGTGCAATATGTGAAACGACGAAATAAAAAACAGTGATTTTCGTTTCTTTTCTAAGAAATCGATGACAATCAGCTCTACTTAAATTAATAAAATAATGGGCATGTCTCACGTATTTAAAAGTCTTTATCAATTGAACTAAAAAGATAATTCTCGTACGAACTTTATATAAACACTCTTGTTGACATCTATTCTGTAAAAGTTTTAACATATTTTTGTTTGGTTTTAGATAAATAATGACGAATCAGCCATTAACAGCAATGATTAGTTTATCTAAGGAACCGTTGGCATCTATGATAACAAACAATTATCGAACAGTAGAAATAATAGCTTATTTAAAAAGTATCTGTGATGAGTAAGTGAGATAGCTTTTCTTCACTATATTTGAATATTAGTAATATTTTTCATTTATTTTTAGCACAAAAACCTACAATAAAATGAAATTGATGTTTGTTGGTATACAAGCTGTTGGAAAAACATCGCTTTTAAACTGTTTAAGACGAGAAGGTACTGGATCATATCAAAGACAAACAAACAAAGTAAGCTGTAAACTAAGTAGATTCTCATTTATAATAGAAAAGAATCTTGTTTTTTTAGACATGGTCATCAAGACAAAATGGAGATCGTACAATCTCGTCTACAATATCAAATCGCTCCACAAAATATGATAATCTATCAACAGTGGGTGTCGACATATCTGATTGGATCATTACACGTTCTCAATATGGACCAGTCACATTTCGGACATGGGATTTTAGTGGCCAAGTATGACGCTAAATGTGTATTTTCATCTAAACGATAGTTACTGACTATTTAATTATATTTAGCGTGAATATTATGCAACACATCAATATTTTTTTTCAAGACGTGCCCTCTATTTGGCTTGCTGGAAAATTTCTGATGATGAAAAAGGTATTAACGATATACATCAATGGCTAATCAATATTCAAGTACGTAAATATTCATATTTTTAATTCATGAGCTTGACATCCTACTTGTATTCTTAAATACAAGAACCTAGTGTTCTTATGTGTATTTTTTACTGAAGTTAGTTAGACAAACAAGTGAGACTTATTTTTTCAAAGTTTCTGTATATTCTACGTATGCTCATCTTTCGGTTATGAGATTGTCTGTAGTGCACTATAGTGAACTTTTTCTATAATGGATGCTCCAGATGAAATGGCAGTGTTAGTATTTTTGATTTTTTCGTAATCCTCACCCTCAAAAAAAGGCAGAAACTGGTTAGAAGATTAAAAACTGGTTTCGATACATTCGTCTTGTTCAAATGGGGATCGAAACGGCTTATTTTAACCCGAGGGATTTATCAATCTTATTTCGATAGCAATACAAAAGATAGTTCTATTGCATAAAACGTTTTTTATCCATCTTACAATAAGGCAGATGCATTAGTGTGTCGTAAACTAAGACAGATTTTTTTTCAGGTGTAATTAAAATTTTCATCGTTTCGAAAACGTGTCGACAAAAGAGAATTTTTTATTTTACCACCGTTGAATTTATCAGGGATTCTTGCAGGATTAAGTCAATTTCTCCCGTGAAAGTCATGATGACATCCTGTCTATGAAGAACATTCATCGTTTTGTATTGGAAAAATGCAAAAAATTTTCATAGGTTTTTGTCACTTTAATGACTTACTACAAAAGATCGCCTGATGGGGGCCTCAATCATAGGCCCCTGCAACGGGTAGCGCATAATTCAGTCGAGCTATAAAAAGTTTTTGTTAGGATAAGACCGGATCATGCATAGGTTTTTCAAGAATAGAGTTTTATAGAGAAATATTTCGTGAATCTTATCAAACGTCTCCGAAGTTTGAGAACTTTTCGTCTAGATGGGAGACGTTATGCACCAGTATGTCTCGAATTGTCGGTTTACGAATTTAGACTCTTTCTTCTGTTTTCATTTCCACAAGTTCTCACAATATCTCCTAGAATAAAAATTATTTAGAGTTCAAAGACGTTTCATAAGATTTACGAAATATTTTTCTAAAAAGTTCTGTTTTGAGAAAAAGTAAGTCTCGTCTGAGCCTGTTTCTAATACAAACTATTTTTATGTTTATGGGTATCCGTTAAAGGGCTCTAATTATTTGACCTAAATGAACTTTAATATATGCGACGAGAAAAAGAGTACACTTGAACTCACTCAAACGTATTTTTATCTGATTTTTCAACTGTACATGTTGTAACTCAAGACATTTTTTTGCACAGACTTGAACAATAGATCTTTTTTCAAGAAACTTAGATCAAAAAGCATCTGAAAATTATGAGAAAAATTAAAGAGATTGACATTTCTTCGAGAACATTGACAGGTGACAACTCTTATTCATTTAAGATCAAGAAGCTTTTTACTATAAAAATTAAACTAATTTAATATCTAATTCAATGAAAACAAAATTTTTTTGTTCATAAGAATAAATATATAAAAGTGCTGTAATTATGTACATAAACTGTGTTACGTAGTCTTTAAATCAAAATGTCAAATCCAATCATTATTTATTGTGATTTTATGATTATTTGAATGTTGTTATGACTTTTGTGATCTATTAACATGAGTGAGGTAGATATTGTCATCGTATTTAATTAATATCCTCTATTTTATGCTGCAACACCGTGTATAACAATAACAAATCTAAATAAATCTGTTTCTAATTCAATTGTTAAAACATCATCCGTTTTATGATTCCATAGACATCGACTCATGATAAGTATATTATTTTGTTCTTGTTTTGGATAGGATATTACTTGAATAATTGCTTTAAAATTATCTTTTATATGTTGACATACTAAAGTTTTTATTATTTCTGTTATCTCGTATGTTAACGTTCTTACACCATTTTCATCATTGTACGTTAACGTTTTTGTTCGTACGTCTAATAATCGAATAATTTGATTTTTAACAAGCTAAAAAAGAAAAGAAAAACATTGGAATTAAATTGATCAAAGCTGATAGTCATCAAGTTAACTCAATCTAGCTTCTAACTAATAGAACAATTGTTATTTGACAATAATTTATAATGTTTATTTATCGATACTCTTAGGATCTTTCATCAGTCTGTAAAGAAATTTAAAATATATTAAATGTACATCTGAGCGATAATTTGACTACTGATTTAATTCAAAACGTTAAAAATATTATTTTTCTTTGAAATTGTTTTAATAACTGATCATTTATATAATTCTGACAATTTGACTTTTTTAAAAGTTTACCTCACCTATTATCCATGACCGATAAGAGATATGTAAAAAAATTTCTCTTGTTTCTTCTTTTCGTATGAAAAAATGAACATCATTCAAACAGACATACCATTGTTGGCACATACCTATGCTTTCTCTACTTTTAAGTGTCTATTGAGTTTTATTAGTAGTTTATACTTACCACACTGAATGTATTATCAGCAAATTTTACTGGTACACCACCTTCCGACAGTCGAACAGTATCTAAATAAAAAAATATATTATCTTCTACATTTCTACGTTAATAAAATTTCAACTGTAAAAAGCTGGTCATGATTCAAAGTTATGTTCAATTGTTTTAATAAAAACAAAAAACAATAAACAGTGTTTAAATATTAACTAACTATCTTTTGTTTTTGTTATTGTTTGTACATCCATTTCCGTTTTTATTCTACTCAACACATTTTAAAACTACTACTCATCAGAGGTTAACTTATTTCCATGTTTTTTTTTTTCAATTTATACTCTATAATATGATGTGACAACAGAAATAAAAATTATCAAATATAAAGACGAATACAAAACGTGTATTTGTCGTGTTCTATAATACTGTGTCTAATTTCTATAAAAGAATATAATTATGAAAATTTAACGAAGAAAAATTAGAATAATAATGCAAGGATGTCATTTAAAAATTCTATATTAAATAATACTATTTTTTCTAAAAGAAAAAGTTTTTGATTAAATAAATTGACTACACTCTGAGAAAATTGACTTAAAACTTTCTTAAAACTCTCTTCTATTTAATAAATAAAAATAAATATACAGTACTGGTATTGTTGTTGTTCTTGTTACTATTTTGTACTTTTTGTTCATTATTGTATAGAGTACTTGTTCGATTTCTAATCGTTGGTATTTGTGATGATACACCAATATGATTCTGTCTTGCTGTTGTGGTCGATGTAGACATATTTATAGTGTAAAACTTTATTTTTTCTTCTTCACGCTTTTGTAATATTCACAAAAAACTTATTTTTTTCGTTTTTTTTCACCTTCAATTACTCTGTATACGTAATAACTGCTGTACGGTTATGTATTTATTCTTTCTTCTCTTTTATTTTCCCCTTCTTCTTCTTCTTCTTCTTCTGCTGCTGCTATAATACATACCTGTAGTTAAAATTTAAAAGGCCAAAAGAAAGAATCGTGCATTTAGTTTTTTTTAAGGATGTTTTATTTGAAATACGGTTTTCTTCCTGTGTTTTGTTCTATAAGTATCGATGCACAGGAGAAGAAGAAGAAGAAGAAGAAAAAAAAAATAAAAGAAGAGAACCGCTGATGAATCTTATTCGTAAATAAAGAAGGAAGACTGTCGTCTTTTGAAAAATAATATTATGAGAAGAAGAAGAGAACTCGGAAATTAGTTTTTAAAATGTGTATGAGCACATGTATTTATTGTACTTAATCAAAGTACCATAGAAGATTATATAGTGAACGATATTAAAAAATTGATCATATATTTGTGCTATAATATTGACATATAAAGTTTTTTTGTACATTATGTCCTCTATACATTGTATAGAAAAGAATAATTTAACGAAAAAATGACAAACCATTTCATTTTGATACTAATTAAATAAAAATGTCTTAAATAAACAAAAACAATACTAAATATATGCATGAATTCTTAATATTTGAAGTAGTATAAAGTTGAGAAAATACTTAATATTATAGACAGAATATGTCAATAGATTAAAAGCATGGATATATCTAATATTGATTATATAATAGAATAATATAAATTTTTGTACCTTAAAATGTTATAGGGTAGAAAAGCTTCTAGTCTGTATAGTTCTTAAACTTAATTTTGTAACATTTTAACTTACTCATTAATAACATGTCTTTAAGTAAACGTGTCGTTTTGACTGATGAAAAATCACGTCTATTTAAAGTTAAAATCAGCATCGATCGTTTTCTTCTTCTTTTTTTAGTTCACAGCTGTTATGGAATGTACAAGATGTAATCAATGTATGATAATTTAAATAGCACAGATGTTACAAAAAGCTATTCAACTTTTTCTTTTTTAACTGAACAAAATCGACGTTAAGAAATTATTTATCATAAATTTTTCCATTTCTAACTAAAATAAGAAACAATCGATTAAAGATGAAAATTTCCTTGAAAAAAAGAATTTATTTTCAGAGAGTAAAGAATAGATTAACGAATAGGAGTAAGCTTTGTCAAAGTTTTAATGATGCATCATCATAAAAAAACCACCACCGATTTTCATGATAAATGAGATGATTTTAGACGAGATGCGTCTTTTTTTTCAAGTCTTAGAAGTTATAGGGTTATAACAGAAATTGAATCGATAGGTATCTGTGTAGTTGCCTAAACGATAATTTTCGTCTTATTATATTCTCTAATCTTAAATTTTTTTTGAAAACAGTTTTCATCATTACTCTGAATGTGAAAGAGTGATGAGAAATGATGAGAATATTAAAAAAGAGAAAATTATCAAAAACTAAAGTGAACAGTCAAAATACTCATGTTCATGTGTAAACGTAGAAGAAAAAACATACATAGTATGTTAAAATTTTCATACAAAAAAAGAAGATATTGTTCAAGTGGAGACCGACATATGTTTAATGAAAGATGAACACGATCGTACTCTGTTGAGTGTCATTTTGTAACAACTGCATTTTTTCACTTTTAAAAAAAGTTTTTATCAAAATCCGTAACATATTCGTCATCAGGAGGCCTCTGATCTCTTCAATATTGTTAACATACTTAAATTTTTTCTCTTCGTTAACTTAATATGAATATCGTACTTTGAATGAATTCAAAAACATTTCTACATCTGAATATCAAAGAGTAGTAGTTGTTCTTTTTACGAACTACAAAATTTTATTTTATGTTCATGGTAATGTGATAAATGATTATGATGTCCTTGTCAAGTGTCAAAAAAATAATTAAGATAGAAATTTTTCTTTTATTTTGTTATAAATCTCTTTGACAACTTCATAGAAAATCTTAATTCCCTGATCTTTATAGTAGCATGATCTCAAAAATTCAAAATCATATCTAAAGGACACCAGACAGTTTCTACAAGAAAATGGCCCTACATATTTTTGAGAAGATAACGACTGGAACTGATCAGAAACCGTTCGTTATTCAGTTTTAAATTTTTGTGCGTCTTAAAAGTTGATTGTAGACTACCATATGCTGAAATTTTTTCATAATTTCTGAGCATCGGTCCAAAAAGCCTGTTCGATCGCATTTATTCATTTTTCTCGGTAAATTCGACGTTCTTAATAGAATCTTATACACGAAAACATGCGTAATTAAACGAACTTTAAAATGATATATAGCACACCTTTTCAAACTAATGTCTTCATAGATGTATTGGACAAATACTTGACAGATATCTCAATTTTAACCGAAGTGACAGACAAAAATGATTATAGTTTCGTCCACAGATAGAGATCTCTAATCATTCATACATCATTCGATGCGCCTTGGAATACTCTACAATATGTTCTACGATCCAAATACCTAGAACAAATTTGAAGAAAGATTTGACCAGCTGAAAGAATTTCAGATCTGATGTGCTATATAAAACGGTTCTATGAAAACTCGTGAAACCAAGGTCTCTAGTAGACCAAGATCTCGAAAAACCTCGAGTTCAATCTAAAAATGCTTTACAAATAGCTCCATCGTGCAGAGCAAACATTTTTGAAGAAAATGAGATGTCGCAGAAAATGTCGCAAAGAGCTCGAAGACGTCTCATTTTCTTCGGAAATGTTTGCTCTGAAAAAATTGAAAAAATTTCAGCATATGGTAGTCTACAATCAACTTTTAAGACGCACAAAAATTTAAAACTGAATAACGAACGGTTTCTGATCAGTTCCAGTCGTTATCTTCTCAAAAATATGTAGGACCATTTTCTTGCAGAAACCGTCCGGTGTCCTTTCAATACAGTTTTTTCAAGCTCAAATCTTTGAATATTATTATTGATTTAAAGGAAAACATCATATATTAAATTCCTGTATATAGACGAATATAACGACGTTTAACAGATTCATACAATGTTTATTTAATAATACTTGTTACAAATCGATTGAATGTACACAAATGAATAAAAAAAATATTGTTTCTTATACACTTATAGACCCACGTACTACTCTTGTTTATCCAATTGTTCATCAGATCAATTGATACATTTCTTATATAGTTTAATACTTAAAAATTAACTTTGGATATATATATATTAGATTTTTAAATAAAAATTTGTTTTTCTTGTTTTCTAGGCAGTTGCGCCAGGTGCTGCTGTCATTATTGTTGGTAGTCATCAAGATCAATTAGCTAAACATAAAAATTATCGTCAGATTTCAGAACATTTACAAAATCTTATATATAAACGTTTTATGGATACAAGTTATAGTGAAAAAGTTGGCTATCCAAAAGTAATTGGTTCAATTGAAGTTAGTTGTAAAACCAATTATAATATAAAACAATTATGTAATCAGATATACGAGACAGCATTCCAATTATTTATACCCGGTAATTATTTCGACAGATACTTTTGTTGTTATTTTTATTTATTTTTTTTATATTTTAAAATAGCAAATCTCTACTCATTTTTTCAGGTACAAAAGATCATTTGATGTTACAACAACGAATACCAGCTAAATATATTTATCTTGAAGAAGCCATTTCTTTAATAGTAGAGGAACGTCGTCTAATGAATAAAAATCCTGTGTTAAAGTTAAAAGAATATACGTAAATATGATGTTGTTGTTGTTGTTTTCTACTAATACTATCAGAAGATTTTTTCTTTGATATTGTAGAGAAGTGATAAAAGTCGCATTTCAACGATTGGAACGTCCAAAATTTCGTGACGATTTTGAATTGTTACAAGCAACAAAATTTTTACATGAAAACGGTAATAATCAAGCATCTTACGATGGAATCTCCCCAGATGTAACACTTCGTTTATATGGATTTATGTGACGATCGATAGAGGACAGTGAGCTGATAAAATCCCTAAAAGAATTGGGCTCATGGTACTTCTTTCAAAAATATGAACTTTTTTTGTCTACCTGTGCAATGGAACCTACTAAGGTCGTGTAGAGCTAGGAGAAGTCTCATTTTAATCAGAAATTTACAGACTACAATCATGGCTCATTAAGAAAGATTTTGGTTATTTTTTAGAGTTTCTGAAAAACCAATTTTTCAGAAAACCGGATCTTCGAAGGCCTAAGGACAGCTCTCATGTTCATATTCGGAATCAGTGTAGTCGAATACCTATAATCCACCGGATTTGGCTGAAAAAGCGAGGTAACAGTTCGAAAGGTTCCCTCCTTAGTCAAAACAAACTTTTCTTCAACTTTTCTCCAACCAAGAGCTTCTTATGGAATCAACGACTATGAACATAAACGTCTATCAAAATTCAATGCCATTTGTCTTCTGTTTCCATAAAAATCACATTCCTTTATTCCTTACCATCTTTGTCTCTTTATTTTTTGTAAGTAAGGAAAATTCAATAATTTACTACTAAGTACTAGCGTTAGAAGGTTGAAACTTTCCGTAATAGTAATAGAGATCTAGCACAGTAATGGAAAATAATCTCAGCTCTTAATTCGCTGTTTTGACTAAGTTACGGAATTTTTAGTATTAGTCAGTTCCATTGCACAGGTAGACAAAAAGAGTTCATATTTTTGAAAGAAGTACCATGAATCCAAATCTTTTTAGGGCTTTTACTAGCTCACTGCCCTCTCTCGATCGTCACATGAATCCATGTAAACGAAGGGTTACATCTGGGAAGATTCCATCGTTAATTTTCGTTCTTTAATTTAAAAAAAGAAGATTTTTTTTCTTTCTAGGAGTCGTTTTACATTATGACGATACGTGTTTATCTGATTTATATTTTCTTGATCCACAATGGTTATGTGATTTGTTGGCTCACATAATTACAATTGAACAAATTAACGGATTTGCTAGACATGGTATACTGGGATCAATAAAACAAAAGAAGTGTCTTTATTTTATTTTATTTTTTATTTATTTTAGGCATTATGCGTATAGAAGATCTTTATCTCTTATTTAAAGGAGAAATATTTGAAACAACTGACGTATGTTCATATATAATTGATTTGTTAAGAAAATTTGAAGTTGCTGTTACATGGGATAATCAAAATATATTAATTCCACCATTACTACCATCAGAAGGTCAATTTAAATTATTAAATATAAATGTACGAAGATAACATTTGTTTATATTTTCCTATTTAAAATATTAAAAGATAAATTCTTCTATATTTTAGAAACGTTCTAGTCGAATACCTATTATTCCCTATACAAAAATTGTTCAATTAAAATCGTATAAAAATCTACATGATTTTAATACATCGCTTAATGATACAATTTCACAATCTAAAATGAATTCATTACAATTAAAACATTTAATTCGTGTTGATAATGAACAACAATATATTTATCGATTATATCAAATTGCATTTATACCAAGTTGTTTTTGGCCACGTTTAATAACTCGTCTATTAGCTGATACACAACTACGAGCATGTTTAACCACTTATTTCATAACGGATCTAACCATGTTAAACACTAATCAATGGACAATGGATAGAATTAAAACAATATTGTTAAATGAATCAAACTGGTACTGTTGGCAAACGGTAAAGAGACTCGCGAGATTCCTCTATATTTTTTATTATTAAAATAAAAATAATAGACAAATAACATTTTCTCCATATGTTAGAAATTTTTTGTTATTCTATAGGGTTTAGAGTTACGATATCATGATTGCTGTTTAATTAGAATAAAAGAAGTTTTATTTGAACCAATTGTTTCATCTTTAACAACAGCAACGACGACATACCAACAAGAAAATGAAAAAGAAGAACATGATCAACAATTAAATACTGTACTAGGTTATCCTTATCGAAATATGATATTTAAATTTGATACAGATGAAGAATTAAATAAACAAATTATTGCAACAAATGGTTCACTCATTGAAATTTGTGTTTATAATACAAATTTACAATTAATTATGGATTATAATTTAAATCAACAAGACAAAGATCAATTGTATGTATATTCTTCTTTTAACAATAGTCTCGATTTACATATAAATAAAAATTATTCTAGATCCACAGATCATTTAGATGTTGATAATGAGAATTTCTTAACAAGTCGTAGTCAAAGTGATCCACCATTATTATCATCTACAAACACTCCATTTATAATTACTTTAAATGTTCAATTATCAACAATAGCAAAAATTCTTATGAATTTAACGGATAATATTGATACATTATTAGAAGATTGGTATCCAGAAATGGGTACACGTTTTGTACAAAATTCAAAAGGAGATTATCTTGTTTATCGTTTTATACCGTGTCATAAATGTTTAAACGAATCCGTTGAAGATAAACAAAATTCCAACGTTACTTTAACATCATCTCCATCATGGAATCTTGTTGTTTCTGATTCTAAATACAATGTTACATTGTTTAGTCCTGAACAAGGTGTAAAATTTCATGCAAATAGTGAAATTGATCGAACACGACAATTATCAAAAAAGATCAGAAAAGTAAAATTTATTTAACATAAAAATTATAAATGTTTTTTTCTAAATATTTATCGTTTTTTTTCTACTTTTAGTACGAACTAAATGAATCATTTTTATGTCATGCATTTTGGATTGAACATGTTATATTTAATTATTTAGAGAAAAAGCCAATACTCTGCGAAAAACATGGTGAAATTGATTATTCTACCATTGCACCAGATTTTGTAAATTTAGATAATCTCTTAAATTTCTAAAATGTATTATAATCATTTGTTTTCTTTTGTTATTAAGACGTTCAGTGATCTACCGGATGAACTTATTTTTTCATTTGACACAATTAAATTAAGAAAATTAGTTGGACGAGGAAGTTATGGAACAGTTTTTTCTGCAATTGCATATTCAAAGGTTCATTCTCATCTTTTTTTATTTTTATCATTTTAAATTTAACAAAATTTTTATTTTATTAATTTCTAGTCAATGAGACAATATATTGAAATTGCGGTAAAAGCTCTTGTACCAGTGGATACATCAAATATTTTAACAGATTCATCGAAAAACGACGATAATGAAGATATCAATACAGATAAATCAAAAAAATTATCACTCGTAATTTGAGGTGTTTTTTTTTATCGTCTTTCATCTTCTTCATTTCTGCCTATCATTTGAATCAACATGTATAATTTATCTAAACTAGTATCTATTCTTTTTTTTAGCGAAATATTCGCAAAGAATGGAATTTAAATCCGATGCGTTCAGCGTGTAAAGCCTACATTGCATCTAGACAAGAATTATCGATATTATTAGCATTAAACAGACATGAAAATATAGTACCATTATTAGGTTTATGTCCAAAACCATTAAGTTTAATTCTTGAATGTGCTCCATACGGTTCATTAGATAATATTCTAAGCGAATATAAACGAATGAATACATCACTTACATTTTCAACATATCAAAAGTTAATTGTTCAAGTAAAGACAAATATTTAATATGAGAAAAATTATAAAATTTTTCTTTTTCTTTTCTTTTCTTTTTTTTAGATAGCCAGTGCACTTGCACATTTACATAAACACTATATTATTTATCGTGATCTTAAATCAGAAAATGTCCTTGTTTGGTCGTTACCCATGCCACATATGCCATCAAAAGGACAAGTATTGGTTAAATTATCGGATTATAGTATAAGTCGAGCATTATTACCAAGTGTAGGTAAGTCAATTTGAGTCATGTTTCGATTATTTTATGTTGAAAATTTGTTTTTGTTTTTTATTTTGTTTTAGGTACAAAAGGTTTTGCTGGTACTGAAGGTTATATAGCACCTGAAATAATTCGATTCAATGGTGAAGAATTATATACAGAAAAAGTAATTTATCAATTTTGTTTAAATTAATTTCAAATTAAAATCAAATTACTTTGTTCTTTTAGGCTGATATATTTTCATTTGCTATGTTGATGTATGAATTGTTGACACTTGAACATCCGTTTCGTCGTAATGGTAAAGAGCACGTTCGCGATCTTATATTACAATCATGGCGTCCATCTTTAACACAACAAGTTAAAATTAAATCAATAATATTTTTATATCTTTTCTTTAAATATATTTGTTTATTTTTAGGAACTAGCATCACCAACATTAATTCTTGATTTAATGATTTCTTGTTGGGCAGAATCACCGTATGATCGTCCGTCTGCTGAAGATATTTACAATATATCACGTAAATTTGAATTTCGTCATTTAATGGATGTTGTTGAACTTTCAAACAAAGAAAATTATAATGAACATTTACCATTGGCTGTAATAACATTTAGAGATGGTATTTAAAACAAACATCATTTTATTTTTATTTTTACAAATATGATCTCATTTTATAACTTGTTTAGATATTGATAATGATGATGTTGACGATGAATATGAAGAAGATCAAATGGCTCTTCCATCTGCTGATGTTTGGATTGTTCAACATTCAAAACAAGAATTAGAATCATCCTTGATCGTTTTTGCCTATGATAAATATAATGCTGTCCATGAACGAGTATGTTAAATTAAATCAATTATTTCAACTTGACAATAAAATATGTAAAATGTTGTTATTCGTTTTTAGTATATTAATGTTTGTGGTTGTGAAATTCGTGCAATTCATGTTCATAATCAACGATATGTAATACTCGCTGATATTCTCAATTGTCTCTATATTTTTTGTTCTAAAACATTTGTTAAATTACATCAATCAATTCTTATTCATCATCATTCAAATGCTCAACCAGTTCATATGATCAGTTTAAATGAACAACAACCATTGTTATCATCGATTGTCTATTTATTATTGTCAGATAATTCAATTTATAGTTTAGATTTATTAATTTTATTACGTAATCAAATTGATGCAAGTGAATTAGGTTATCGATACATTATGAACATTGCATTACCTACTTTTAAAATCACAGCATTACCAACACCTAGTGGAAGAAAGTAAGTCAATTTATATTCGATAGTATGACTAACAAGAGAAAAAAACAAATATATCTATTTTTTTATGTAGTGTTGAAATTTGGGCAGGATGTTCTTTGGGAAATATTCGTATTATTGATGTAAGAACTGCTCAACTCTCTGTTCAATTATCTCATCAATATCAATATGGTGGCGGTCAAACAGCTGTTCATCTTCTATGTTCAAATAAAGAATCACAATATCAATATTTTGTATGGACAGCAATGAAAACAGGTTTAAAAAAATAATTAATTATTTAGTGATAAAATTAAACTTTTACACATATTTATTGTTTTTAATTCTAGGATGTTTTGTTTACGTTTGGAATCATTTATCACGTCGAATTGTGAATCATATAGATTGTGAAAAAGTAATTAAACAGAATGGAAACGGTAAATAATTTATTCTTGATATCTAATTTAGTTTTGATCACTTGAATTGTATCTAGATTCAAATGAAATGATTATGATCGATTCATTATTACCCTATCGAACATTTTTATTTATCGGATGTAGTACGGGACATATTCTTGTCGTTAAAGCCATCAATGTTCAACCATTAACTATTTTTCATGCCCATGATCGAAATGTAATGAATATATTTCCATTATCTAGTCAATCATCACGACCAATAATTGATCTAACAATACATACACGTCAACAATTATCACAATTTAAACAATTACAAGAAAGATTTGAACAACAATGGAAACCAAAACAACAAAACCAACAACGTTTAGATGAAAGTAAGAATGATGACAGTAGTGATGAAATATCTTATATATTAACGTACGGTTGTGGAGCTCAACCGTATCAGTCTATACCACAATTGACATATGGCAAAGACACAATTTATCTAACTACTTGGTCTCTCGAAGATTTCACTACGGATTCATAATTTACATTCCAATTTTTTTATATTTTTTATACAAAACAGATTTTGCTTCTTGCTTTTTTCAGTCTTTGTATATAACAGTGATTTATTTTTACTATGGTTTTGAAATGACATCTTTATGTTTGACATTTTATTTTTAAGAGAATTATACAATGAGTTTTCTATTTGTATCAAGTGAAATGTATACGAGGGGGGGGGCTAGCTTAAACTTTTTATTCATACTAAAGAAATTGTTATTATACAGTGCTGGCAAAAATTACATAGCCGCTGTATTTTTGAAATTTTTCAATGAAGCCGAGCAACTAAGTCCAATCTCAATAGTGATTTGGATAGTCCTTAAAGTTCTCTATCAAATGCATCTAGTGACAGATATCAGAAAAATCCAAAGAAATGTGCTTTCTGCTGGTTGTTTTAGTCGATTTTTAGCGTTTCTTTCGTAAATTATACTATTTCTTCATTATTTCTGATGCCTGTAACTTTTGCAGTGAAAGATCATGATGAGCTGAGCACTCTCTCATTTTGTTCAGAATTTTATGCTCTTTTAGATGGCTGTATTGAACATATGTTTAGCAAAATCTTCTAGGACTTAACGCTCTGTTGAAGCGACCTTCTAGAAAAGTTTCTTCAAAACCTTTTTTCTGAAATTTTGGCACATACTGCATTTGATAGAGAATTTCAAGGACTATCCAAATCACTATTCAAATTGGACCTAGCTGCTCAGCTTCATCGAAAACTTCCAAAGTGCTATAATTTTTGCCAACACTGTACCGAAGATTTCTATCTCTCCGTATAAGTTTATCAAGTTTCAGAAAATGTTTCTTCTCTACAATAGATTGTCCTCATTAGACATCATGCTGAATGAAAGAGTTAGTTCTCTTACAACTCAAAAACTACTTTTGAGACTCGATTAGAAAAACAGCTATACGAGATCTATTTATTGCTTTTTTTTTTGTACTTGAATGTCTAGTCATGCTATTGTCTCATTCATTTCCTTTTGTTTTTTGGAGTGCAATGGGTTGCTCGTGATAGAAAAATTCATATTAATGTGTATTCTTTAGCGTATCTCATTTCTTTTGTATTATTTTATGTAGAAATGAGGTGTTTATATTTCATAGATAAATAAATTTGTCGGTATTTGACTATCTGAAGTTTCTTTGTATAATAAGTTTGGTTGCATGGTACTTAGAAAATTTTTGAATGTACTTTCCAATCCAAGTGTTTTCTCAGTAATGAATTTCAGAGGAGACCAGCATGAATTGTGATCAAAGAATATTTCTTATTTGAATTTGTTTAGATTTTTATCTTGTAAAGTAATGGTCATGTAATCAGTAGATGGATCAGAAATAATGCTGTATGAATTATATTTTATTTTCATTTATTTTGTGTTTACTTAGTGTGTTAGAAACGGTTTATCATTCCTTATTAACACAACATCTAGGTCATTTAAACGCGTTTGACAGGATCATTTTCGAAAATTAAAGTACTGAACAAATTTTCATTAACCTTTACCTTTTTCAGTCACCATCTAACAAGAACTCGATTGATATCGACAGATAATCTTGAGGAAGTTTACTACCATAATACAATGTTCATTGCGTATCTCATATAAAAGTGATTTCTTGGCGAGTATTTTTCGGTACTGGAATATGTTCGCTAGCACTACAAAGGATCGTTTATAATATCGTTGCATTTTGTTGAGAAAAAATATTAGTATTCGTTCATTATTGAACAAAATATTTTGTTCAAAACATGTGATTAATTCAACATTAAATGATTTGGCCAAAACATAATCAATAATTTTAAAGTTGTCAAACCACTAGTATTTAAGTGTTGATTTATGATCTGACACGGTAATAGGAGGGTGAATCCATGGGAAATGTACCACCTTTCTGGAAAAGCTTTTTTTGCCACTTTTTTCAGTTTTCTAGCTAGCACCGAATCAGAAAACAACTTTGGTCGAAAAAAATGTGTTACTTTTCCCGAAAATATCAGAGATTCAGTGCCTTTTCTAGGTATATCCAAGGGGCGTCACTCTGCATGATTTAGAGCTCATATTTTGGCGCTTGGTAGATGATCACCGGACTAGCACAACCTCCAAAGGATTCTTTTTTTCGATGTGCTCTAACTGCGATATCATACTTTTAAGGAGGACAACCTATGCATAATTTTGGCCAAAAACGCTTCTTCACAGAAAATACAATGTAGTCGTTCTGCTTAAAAATATAATATCTCAGTCGAGGCACATCGAAAAAAGGAATTCGTTGGGGGTTGTACTGACCTGGTGATCGTCTACCAAGCGCCAAAATATGAGCTCTAAATCATGCAGAGTGACGCCCCTTGGATATAC